ATATATACTATTAAAAAAAGGAAGTAAGGGTCTAATAGAAAAGACTTTAAGATTAGCTTTAAAGGCTATATTAAATATTTAATTAACTATATTATAACTAATATTTATAGGGTATAGATTCTTTAATTAGAGTATATTATTACTATAAGAAATATATATTTTAATAAGAAGCTATTTTACTAGCTACTAATAAAGAGTACTAATATACTTCTTATTACTAAAGTAGATAGCCTTTATTAAGAACTATTCTAAAATAAAGAGGATAAGCTAAAACTCTATTTAAAGATAACTATACTACTATACTTAAGTAAAAAAAAACTAAATACTATTATATTAAAAGTATTAAAAAGCCTTATAATAAAAGTAATAAAACTCTTTATAACTTAAGGTATAAGGTTAATAACTCCTAAAAGCCTTTAAAGAGAAATATTAGAAGTTATAATAGATAATAATACCTTATTAGTTAACCTTAAAGTAATATATAAATTACCCTAGGAACTACTAAGTTTTAAGTTAATTCTACTTTTAAAGGAGGAAATTAATTATACTAATAAAGTAGTTACTTTAAAAGATAATAAATTCTAACTTACCCTAGAAAAGCTATTATCTATTAATATAAGTAGCCTTAACCTAGAAGAAAGTATTAAAGATATTTTATAATAAAATATTAAAAGTATATTTATACTTAAACCTAATTTAATTATTTCCTTTAAAAAGCTAGTTATTAGGAAAGATAGATAAAGCCTTTATAAAAAAGGAAAGAAGTAAGTAAGATATATAAAAGGCTAGAATATAACTATACTCTTAAAACCCTAAGAAGATATAATTATTAAAGTTAAAGTATTTTATAACCTATATAAAAGAGATTAAAGCTTACTATAGCTTTTTATAGTACTAGTAAATATATTCTAAGTAAATAAAATAGCTTAACTATAATTATATTACTATTATAATAATCTTTTATTAATACTAAAAGATAGTTAAGTAATAAGGAATTATCTACTTTAATAGCTTTAAGAAGCTACTAAGTAAAGTAAATTTAAATAAATAGAAAAGAAAAGAATCTTTAAAATTATAACTAAGACTAATAATATAAAGATATTACCTTTTTACTAGGTTTATATATATAAATTTAATTAATAAGGTTACTTATTATAATATAAAGTATAAATTATTATAAAAGGTAATTTATAAGTAATTAAAGAATATAATATAATATATATAGCTATACTTATTATAAAAGCCTTCTAAGTAATAATAGCTATAGCTACCTACCTTAATCTTAAAGTATACTAATTTAATATAAAGAATACTTTCTTTAATATAACTAGATCTAATAATATCTTAAAAGTCTATATATAATTACCTAATAAATAAATAGCCCTCCTTAAGAAAGCCCTATATAGCTTAAAGGACTTACCTTATTTATAGCTTAAAGAATTTACTAATACCCTTATAAAGTATAACCTATTATAATATAAAGAGAAGCCCTATCTATACTATTCTAAAGATAAAAAGATATTCCTAGTATTTTTTATTAATAATATCCTTCTTTTCTATAGTAAAAGGTATAAAAAGTAAGTTTTATCCCTTATAATAAAGATAAAATAAGTATATAATATATATAATTAAGGAGATTTTAAGTAGTTCTTTAATATTTATATTATATATAATAGAAAATAAAAACTATTATTCTTTAGCTATAAATAATATATTAAGAAGATAGCTAAGAAATATAAACTTACTTATAATTAACCTAGAAAGTAGTATATATTATTATTATCTAGAAAGCTTACTTAATATACTAGTATAGTAAGTAAAGTAGATATTTACTACTTTTAAGAGTTAATAGGGTTAATATTATATATATTAATTATAGTCTAGTTAAATATTATATATATAGTATTCTTTTTTACTTACTTCTTTATAAATTTATTAAGAGATTATATTCTAGCTATAAAGTATTATATATATTATTTATATACTATAAAGACTTTAGTCTTTATTTATAGTCTAAATAAGGAAGTAGTTATTTTATAAATTATTAATAATATATTATATACTAATAACCCTATTACTAGGAAGTTATCCTAAGGTTAAATAATCTTCTTATATAATAGTTTTATATTTTAAAAAGCTATAAAATAAGATACTATTATACTATTTATAATAAAGGCTAAATTATTAAGTATATCTAGCTTAGTAAAAAAGGCTTTTATAATATACTATTTTCTTATAATAATAGGAAGATAGGTAGCTTTCTTATATAAAATAATATATAATAATACTTAGATAATATATATTATTATTAATAATAAAAAGTATATATTAACTAAACTATAATATATTAATATTAATAATATATAATTAAAATAGGAATATAGATATAGGTATTTTATACTTATCTTTATTCTAAGTAAAGTAATACCTATAGATAGTTTTACTAAAGCTCTTCCTTATTAAGCCTTTCTAGAGTTTAAATATCTTATTAATCTAAAAAAGCTTTTAAATATAGTTAAAAAGAGTAATATAATTATTCTAATATAGAATATAAAATATAGTATAGGTAAGAAGGTATTATTTAATCTCTAACCCTTTAAAGAACCTAGAAATAAGTAATATTCTATTTAATTATTATAATATATATATTAATTTTTAATAGCTTTACTATATAACTTTATTAATAAATACTTTAAGGTAGTATAAAGCCTAAGTCTTTTATTTAAAAAAAGCTTCTTTATTTAATACTATATTAGTAATAATAATATTAAATATACTATCTTCTTTCTTTAATATTTTAAAAATAATATATAGTATTATATAATATAAGACTTTATCTTAAAAGAAAGAGTAAAGTATTAATAAGTATTATTAAAGGGTAATAAAAGTAAGTAATAAATAACTTATAGACTTAAGGCTATCCTTATATACTATTATTAAATATTAAATAAAGGGAATTATTATAACTAAGTATAGCTTATATTTATAGTTATAATAAATATAATCTTTATATTTTTATAAGTATATTATCTTTTTAACTAATATAAAGTTATAATATATACTATCTTTTTTATTAAAGAGTATAGATTAAGTATATTCTAGGTAAAGGTTTACTTAATAAAGCTTAGGATTAGCCTTTATAAGCTACTTTACTAGGGTCTAAGGCTAAAAGAGTATTAGTTAGTTTTAATTAATTTAAATAAAAAAGTAAATACTTATAGTATATATTAATAAAGGTATTAATTATAACTAAGTTATATAACTTATAGGAGTTATCTTAATAGGAATAGTAAAAGTACTATAGTAAGGATAGTATAGTATAATAAGTACTTTCTTCTCTTTTTTCTTTTCTTTATCTTTATTTTTAATCTTAACCTTCTCTTTAGCTAATATAGCTATATTAATACCCTTATTATTATTATTATTATTATTATTAATATCTTTATTATTAACCTCTTTAATAAAGGTAGGTATATATACTATTAATAATAAGACTAAGCTTATAAAGGTTTAAGGCTTTAGCTTATTAGCTAAAGTAATTATAGCTATACTAATCTAATAGTAACTATATTAAAAGGGATATATAATACTATTATAAGCTTATACTTCTTTATATAAGTTAATATATAATTTATATACCTTTATAAAAGGCTTTTCTTACTTAGTAAGGAGTATAGGGGCCTTTAAGGAGGGCTTTTTAATATTTACCTCCTTAAAGGACTTTTCTTAAGTATTTAAGGATATAATTACCTCCTTAAAGGACTTTTTATTAATAGTAGTAAAGGTAGAAGCCTTAGTAGTAGTAAGGAAGGGGGAGTTAATAGCTATAAAGCTAATATATAAAGAAACTATTATTAAAAATTTAATATAACTAATAATAATAAAAAAAAGAAAATAAAAAGGTAATAAAGAATTATTATTACTTTTAATAAATAAAAAAGTAAATAGCTAAAAAAAAGTAAATAGATAATAAAGAATATAAGAATAATATATAATAAAAAATAGCTTTTTATATTTAAAAATACTAATTAGCTTATTAATTAAAATAAAAAGTATTTTAAATTACTTATTAAAAAGAATAATAATTCTATTATTTATCTATTTTTATATTAAACTACTATTTATACTATAAAATATATACTTAAGTAGTATATTAATATACTTTTTATAGAAAATAAAAAAAAATATAAATATACTATTTTATTTTTTTATAAAATACCTTTTTATATAGATAGCTATTTTTTATTATACTTTTTATATATAATTATTTCCTTTATTTTATATTAATTTATACTTAATAATTAAAAGGTATATTATATAGAATACTACTTTAATAAAAAAGCTTATCTTATTTATATTAATAATAAATATAGATAAGTAATAACTTTAAGTATCTTAAGATATAGTATTATCTTATAACTTAAATTATATAGCCTAAGGCTAGGAAATAGGATATATAAATTAACTAGTTATTCTTTATAGCTTTATTTAATATAAGGCTGATTTTCCCTATTATCTTTGCTTTCTATTATTCCTTTATAAGCTGTATTAGCTGCGCTGCCATCTTATGTAACCACATTGATGCTCCATAAGAATGCTGGCAGTGCTTTGTTCTGCGAATAGCGCGTGTTGGCGGTTGGAAGGGACAAGACCAAGAGGTATCGGGAGACGGGACCGAGGTGCAGTTCATGTACACGATATGTATACGAAGTCGAATGGAGTCGGGATGCGAATCATCTTTCGATTTCAAAGTCTACCTGGGTAGTGAATGATAGTGCGAGGAGTCGCGTCGAATAGACCAGATAAGTAAGTGCCTGTCTAATCATGCTGTATGACAACTGGTATTTTATATTCGTGACTAATTTCATCCGCATCATGGCAGCCAAAGCATTTCTGATTGCGACTTTATTCGTTATCAGATCCGCCTTTCTTATCGTACCAAAGCTACAGGTATTTATTTGCCTGCTGATATTGTCCTGGACAGCGTTGGTACCGGCAAAATGTTACAGAGGCTGTATCCCCACTTTCCAGAGGTGGCTTGCACTGCTTTAATTGCAGCAACGGCCCTGGCCACACTTCCCAGCGGGCCCACGCTAAACAACAGCGCCCCCAACCGCTGCGAATTTGAATTCATTGTAATTCGTACAGGATTGCTGGCTGTTTAGCGCCCATGTCTCTCCCCTGCGGATCCCCGTCACCTCTAACAACCATTTCTCCCTCCACTCCGTCACCTCGTTTGCGCCAAACGCTCGTTCCATCTCTCAACTCATCTCTTCCCCTTCATCAACCCACCCCACATCCGGGCTGCATCTCTGACCGTGTACCGGCTGGGCTTTCGCCGTCTCAGTGCAGCAGGAACGAGACGCTGCAGCGCTGCGCCAACTTACCCGGGCTCTTGCTGAACTTGCCTAGCTTCGCCTTCCCGTACCCGAGCATTCTCCACCGACAGCCAACCCAGCCGCCGACCAAAACGTCAACAATCCAATTTCATCTCGTCGCTCAAACCACAACCCTCCTTCTGCCATCGAAACCCCGTGCTTCGCCGCCACGGCCATCGCGCCAGCCATGGGTATCTGTAGTTCAACATGCTGTGGAGGTCCGTCTCTCTCCCTCGCTCTCCCGACCTGGGCCATTTCGTCTCCTCTCCTACTGCCCGCTGTCGCTGCCGCCCTTCATCCTCCATGTCCCACCTTCTGACACTCTTCATCCCCAGGCCGATCCCGAGATAGTCTCTACGAGCCCGTCCTCGCCGACAGCGAACGTGAAGCCGTCGCCGACCTTTTGCAGTTCCTCGAAAATGTCAGTAGCATCCGCTCACTGTTGCCCACGTCCACCCAGCCAGCTCTACTAACCCACCCCAAATAGCGTGGCGAGACAGACTTCTTCTCCGGCGAGCCCCTCCGAGCACTCAGCACCCTCGTCTTCTCCGAAAACATAGACCTTCAACGGAGCGCAAGCTTAACCTTTGCCGAAATTACCGAGCGCGGTATGCTTGCCCCCCATGTCTGCACCTGCCAAGCCCCTACTAACAGCCGCTTCAGACGTACGTGAGGTTGACCGTGATACCCTCGAACCCATCCTATTCCTCCTGCAAAGCTCCGATGTTGAGGTCCAACGAGCTGCCAGCGCTGCGCTGGGAAACCTTGCTGTCAATAGTATGATCTATCTCGATGCTCGATCCCCTACGCCGCCTGCTAACCGCATGTAGCGGAAAATAAAGTTTTGATTGTCCAACTTGGCGGCCTCACCCCCCTTATCCGACAGATGCTGTCGCCAAATGTCGAGGTCCAATGCAACGCCGTCGGATGCATCACCAATCTCGCTACACACGAAGAGAACAAGGCTAAGATTGCTCGCTCCGGTGCTCTTGGTCCGTTGACAAGGCTCGCCAAGTCAAGAGACATGCGTGTTCAGCGCAACGCTACCGGCGCTCTCCTCAACATGACGCATTCTGGTACGCTTTCATCGGAACATTTTTTACCTTTCCGCTATAGTACTGACATGGCGCCAGATGAAAACCGCCAGCAGCTTGTGAATGCTGGTGCCATTCCCATCCTGGTGCAGCTCCTCGCTTCTCCCGACGTCGATGTCCAATACTACTGCACCACTGCCCTGAGCAACATTGCCGTGGATGCCAACAACCGAAGGAAGCTTGCCTCGTCTGAAGCCAAGCTTGTTCAGGCGTTGGTCGCTCTCATGGAGTCGTCCTCCCCCAAGGTCCAGTGCCAGGCTGCTCTCGCTCTCCGAAACCTAGCTTCCGACGAAAAATACCAACTCGATATTGTCCGAGCCAACGGTTTGGCGCCTCTGCACCGTCTCCTACAATCCTCATATCTGCCATTGATTCTTTCCGCCGTCGCTTGCATTCGCAACATCTCCATCCACCCATTGAACGAGTCTCCGATCATTGAAGCCAACTTCCTCAAGCCTCTTGTCGACTTGCTCGGTTCTACCGAGAACGAAGAAATTCAATGTCACGCCATCTCGACGCTGCGAAACTTGGCTGCCAGCTCTGACAGAAACAAGGCTCTGGTTCTGGATGCTGGTGCTGTACAAAAATGCAAACAGCTTGTGCTCGACGTTCCTGTCACCGTCCAGTCCGAAATGACGGCCGCTATTGCTGTGCTAGCTCTCAGCGACGATCTCAAGTCTCACCTGCTGAATCTGGGCGTCTGCGACATTTTGATTCCCTTGACGCACTCATCAAGCATTGAAGTTCAGGGCAACAGTGCCGCTGCCCTCGGCAACCTCTCCTCTAAAGGTATGTATCCCCTAACAGCCCCAGAAGCACGTGCTAACTCATTTTTCAGTGGGCGATTATTCCGTCTTTATACAAAATTGGACTGAGCCCAACGGCGGAATTCACGGCTACTTATGCCGTTTCCTTCAGTCGGGCGATGCCACCTTTCAACACATTGCTGTCTGGACCTTGCTTCAATTATTTGAATCGGAAGATAAGACGCTGATTGGCCTCATTGGTAAGGCCAGTGACATTATCGAACACATCCGAAACATTGCGAACCGCCAAATTGATGCAGAGCCTGAGCTGGAGGAAGAAGACGAGGGTGAAGTTGTGAATCTAGCTCAGCGTTGCTTGGAGCTACTCGGGCAGAGCATGTCCAAGGCCCATATTGAGGGTTAACTTGACATTGAGCAGCACCACCACAAGCGTCGATAGGGCGGGGGGACATTAGTGTTGAACGCGTCTTTCAAAGTCGAGGCGCAGCTAACGGGGCAACGTTGGTCGCACCTCGACGCTAGTTATCTCTTTTTCTGTACCTGGAGTTTTCTGTTTGGTTGGTGGCTTTTGCTGGCGCCCTGCGAGTCACTGCCGAGTTGCAGTGGTAGGCAGAGGTTGTGAGCCTTGACAGTCTCAGTTCAGCTCTCTTCTCTTATTCATCTTGTACAAAGCATATGCAGCGCATTATTGCTGCTAGCCCAGCATTTTATAATTTTGATTTTAGGAGCCCGCCGAGTATGCGAGGGCCAAGTTGAAGGACGGTGTAATTAGACAATGCGATGTTACTATGGTATACCCTGATAGACTTGCTCTGTTTTTACATGACTGTTGTACATTGGTGATGCATGCGTGGCGATGCAGCTATTGCTCGACGCGTTGTAGCGGATTCTCGAACCATTGCCGTTCGTTCCACGGTAAGACTTTTGCGACAACCTTGCCTTGTATGAGGGCGAGGGGTAATGGGCCAAAGGTTCTTGAATCTCGTGACGCCACTAAGTTGTCTCCCACAATCCAGCAATGGCCGTCTGGAATCTGTTTAAAAGGAGTCAGCACCATGGGCTATTGAGCCTCCATCAACAGCTCCCCTACCTGAATCATAATCTCCTGTCCTGGCTGTCCCGGCGTCCCGACCGAGACGTAGTCGCCGGGCAGGCCGGTGACGCGCTTGACGCCCATGTCGTGGGCGGCATAGGGCATCTGGTAGAGGACGAGGTCGCCGATGCGGACGCCGCGGCCGTACCGGAAGCGCTTGTCGGTGCCGATCCAGTCGCCGTACGTGGAAAAGGTGGGCAGCATCGAGGGGCCGTCGGCAGGGTCGACCTGGAAGCCGTGCGTGGCGACGAGGTGCCAGGCGAACCAGAGCTTGGTCATGCCGACGGAGATGCGCACGCTGGGGCGCTGGAGGAAGCGAGATGCCATGGCGGAAATGGGAGAGTAGCTGGAAGGTTTGTGGCGGGAGGGTGCGGGCTCCGGGGGTTATGAGTGTGATGATGGAGTCATTATAGTTGAATGCGTCGCGGTCGGTTCTTTAGAGTCGATGTGCCTGGCTCTCAATGAGTTGTCAAAGATGTGAAGTGAGAAAGTCAGGAAGTTACGTGGTGGCGCACTCACTAAGTCCAAATTGTGGGGCTACTCAAACAGCTGTCAGAGCTCTCCAACCTCCGCCTCCTCTCCTCCACATTCAACACGATACCTCGCAATTGAACTTCACCTCCCCGCTGTCAGCTACAGCAGAGCGACCATGGCCGCTCTGAGCAGCCCCCGATGTCTCTTCAACTCGCAGACTGCCCTCCGGCGGGTCTTTTCCCTCTCGACGCCCGCCGCGCCGTGCCGACACCTCCTCGCCAGCGGCCACGTGCTACTCCTCCGTGCCTCCTCACCGAGCCAGGTGCGCAGCTATGCCGGCCCCCCACCGCGACGCGTCCCCCGCGGGCAGCGCTCCGTCGACTCGGCCGACGGCGGTGTCGCGAGCGACGATCGAGGCTTCAGCCCGCTGTACACGACAGCGCAGGACATTGAGCGGTCGCAAAAGGACCGGATGCCGCAGGACTACGAGATCAAGGACCCGAAAATCATGGTGCTCGAGAACGGCTCGATTGCGGGCCCGCTGTCGAGCAAGTACGTCATGAGCAAGCTCGACGAGAAGACGGAGTCGCTGCGCATGATTCGGCCGTACGTGCCCAAGGGTGCGCCTCTGCGCAAAGGTGCCGTGGCCGCCGGGGATCAGCCCCCGGACAGCGGCGGCGCGGGGCCGGCGACGACGACGGAAGAGCAGTATGCGCTGTGCGAGATTGTCAACAAGCACGAGGCGTTCCTCAAGGAAAAGGAGCGCAAGGAGCGCAAAAAGGCGGCCGGCGCGGCCAAGATCAAGACCAAGGAGATGGAGCTGACGTGGTCGATTAGCGAGCACGACTTGCAGACCAAGCTGCGGCAGCTCGGCGCGTTCCTGGCCAAGGGCATGAAGGTGCAGCTGGTGCTGGGGACGAAGAAGGGCAGCAAGAAGGTGGATGAGGACACGATGCGTGCGCTGCTGCGCAGGATCGAGACGGAGACGAAGGAGTTGGGCGCGCGTGAGCTGGCGCCGGCCAAGGGCGAGTTGGGCAGGACCATGAGGCTCAACCTGGAAGGCGTGGTTAAGACGCAGACGTGACAAGGGCTGCGTCAAGTGTATCAACAGCTTTTTGTGGCTTTGTGTGCTGAGGAGACGACACAATGTGTATACATCATCATGTGCTCTGTATTTATCATCATTGCGAAATATTCAAGCTTCCTTTTTTGTTTATCAAAGCCTTCCAAGAAACCCCCAAACGCCAATGTCGTGACAAATAAATCATAAATACGAAGCCAATTCTCACATGATTTCATCCAGACCATCATCCACGACCGGCTGCACCAGCTGCACCGACTTGGCCTCCTCATTCTCGTCCGTCTCCCACCCTTCCTCCTTGTCCTGCTTGTCCTCCCTGGTCTGTGTCTTGCTCTTCTTGTTCTTCTTCTCCGCCGGCTCCTCCTCTTCCTCGTCCCCATTCACGTCCTTGTTGATGGCATCCCACGCCTGCCTCCTGCCATCCACGACGCGGAGCCGGTCCCAGCTGCGGCGGACCTTGCCGGCCGTGCGCTCGAGCACGGCCTCGGCCATTTCGGCGCCGCGCTCCTTGCGCCGCCGCGCCTTGGCCGACACGTGCGCCTTGCGCTGGCTCGTCTTCTTCTGTACCCCGGCGGCGTGCTGCACGGCGAGCACCGCCGGTCGCTCCGTGGGCTTGCCGCTGCGCGGCGGCTGCGCTGTCTTGAGGGATTTGTCCGTGTCGATGCTCGGCGACGTGGCTCGGCGCGCGGCCCGGGACCGCTTGGAGGGTTGGGCTGTGTGGGAAGGCGTTAGAAGGGCTCTGATGGGGAGGAACTGGGGGGGGGGGGGGGTAGCATACCTCTTGCTTTGGCCATGTTGTCTGTGTGGTTTGGGGGAGATTGTCGGTTTGCAACTGCTGATGGTGGGGGAATGTTGAATGTCGGTCTACGACTTTTTTTTTCTTGAACAGCCATTATCGATAACCAGTGTGCATTGTAGTGGGGTTACGAGCTGCAACGGAAGCTCCCGACCCGGCAAGTAACTAGGTGTAGGTACGGGATACGTAGATTTAGGGGAATTCAAATATAATTCATAGGTAGTATACATTTTACCCGCTCTATAGGTAGAATTGTGTCAAGTTGGTGTTGACAATGGTTGAGCGGTACCTGACTACCTATACGCACCTTGGGTCTATCGCCAACTCTGGTGGACATTGTAGTTGGACCAGTTTCGCATCCGGCACCTACCGAAATGGCCTAGAATATTTCAAAAATTCCCATGCTTCTTCAAAGAAATTTTCTATAGATACTCGTCTTTTTCAAATTCCCGTACTCAACCTCGCCTCAACGGCCATTGCGTCGTCGCCAGCACTGGCATGGCGCCAGAGCCGCCGCCAAAGCCACAGTAGTTGTGACGAGATGCATCAAAATAAAATCAGCGATCAACTGCCCTTTTTTCCCTCAAGCTATCTAGTGTTCTTATTCGAGTTTAACTCTACCTATGCTTAGCTACTTCTTTATCCCACTCGCATCCGCAATATTGATACGTGCAGCATCGAGAAGTGAGCACGAGAACAGAGAAAGGGAATCAGAAATGAATATTAAAATTACATAAAACAAGCCGAAATTAGTACAAATATAATATTACTTCCCGTCTCGGATGTATACCTCGAATTAGCAGGTAGCCAGCCCGTGGGAGGACAGAGACTCGGCCCATATTTCTCACCAGCGAGTCTCAATGTTCGCATTTTCCGATTGCTGTTAATCCTCAAAACTAAAAAAAAAAAAGGAATCTTCAACCGAGTAATATGCGACCAATGACTGAGAAGATTACCCCAGCGTATGTCAATGTATGCTGCGCTATCGTGCCAAACGCCGTCCTTGATGTACCTGAGATGACGATGCATGCAGGATGACGGGTAGTGCAGCATCGCCGGTCGTGTGTTTGCATACACCATCTTAGACATTGCACGGCCAGTGCAGTGCATCGGACCAAGCCGCTCCATCGACCCATGTGAAACCGCATATTGTGACTCTCCCCTTCGTTTCTGTCTCACTTTTCTCTTCCTTTGCATTTCCATCTTCCTCTACAGCTCGCCATTGAGCCACGGGGTCACCAGGTGGCCGCATACTCGTCAAGATGAAGCCGCTCTTCGTCACAGTGATTGCAGGGATCAACTACCTCCTTCACCCCGAGATTTTGGTAGGCCTCTCGTGGCGCTCTCGTGATACAATGTATGAAGCTGATCTTTTTTTTTGCCTGCCCAGGGGTTGATTCAAGAGGACATTAACCCAGATGCTGTCCTCCCCGTCACGCTCATCAGCACCGAGGAGCTCAGCAGCCCTGACCTGGACACGTTCCTCAAGGGCCTCGAGCTCTACGACGACGTCTACTCGAGCGAGTTCGCCTTTGCGTTGGTAGAGAAGCCCGGTCGCACCAATGATGCGAGCCGCAGCAGCATGGGCACCAGTCGAGTTCCTGGCAAGCAGACCTACACAGTGCAGGTCGTCGCGAGCCGCCCCGACGCGGATGCCCAGACGGTCGCTCCCTTGTCCGACTTGCCCACGGGGCCGTACATTCTGCACGGCAAGGAGCTTCACCAGGCGTACAGGATCTACGAGGATGAGCTGGGTGCCTTTTCCGCCGGCATCGTATCCGAGAAGCATAATACGTTTGACCGGTGCAACCCGATCCCCCTTTATTCAGCAGCGCCATCAGCTAATTTTCTCGCGTAGATTTCTCCATCTCGGCGACGCCCTCACCAACGGAACACTCCGGCCTGTTGCTGTGCCTTCGCGGCTGTACTTTGCCGGGCCCTCCGTCCGGAAGCCGCTCTCTGGGCTGCGCTACGCCGTGCCGGAGGACTTCGACGTACGCGGCGTGCCCACCACCCTGTCCAGTCAGAACTGGACGGCGCTGCACCCCAACGGCGCCGCCGCACACGCAGAGTACGTGAGGATCCTGCTGGACCAAGGCGCCGTTATTGTGGGCAAGACAAAGGACGGGCAGTTTGCCGAGGGTTCCTCGTGGGTGGACGCGACGGCGCCGGTCAATCCCCGCGGCGACGGCAGGCAGCCTGGCGGGGGCGCGGCGGCCGGCGCGGACTCTGCACTCAGCGAGTACACCTGGTTGGAGAACTCCATCAGTCAAGGAGGTAAATATGAGCGGGCAGACAAGAATTAAACTTGTGATATTCGAGGCTAACGTGTGAAAGCTCTGGACGGGCCTATTCCCCAGGCTGCTGCGTATGGCCTGTTCACGCTGCGAGTGACTGCTGGAACCGCCTCCCAAAGAGGAGTCCTCACGAGCTCTCCGTGAGTGATGCATAAAGTACTACAAATGCTATACTCTGACGCTACCCCAGGAAATTTCAATCTACTGGGCTTTCCGCCCGCAGCCTCGAGGACCTCGTGCACCTGGCCGCCCCGTCCTTTACGCTCCCATGGAAAGCCACCACCCCGCCGAGACGCCTCGTTTACCCCACCGACTTTGCCTCTCTGCTGTCCGAGAAGCAAAGGTCGTTGATGGACGAGTTTGTCGCGGCGTGGGAGACGGCCCTCGGCGTCAAAGCGGTCCGGTTGAGCCTGGCCGAGACTTGGACCAGGAACCCGCCACAGGACGCCGGGAAGCAGACCTTGGACGATTATCTAGGCACCGTGAGTCACATGTGCGGCATTCCAAGTTGATGTGTGTAGCTGACATGAGCCAAATAAAAAGGCCGCGTATGATGCTTTTTGCTACGACTTTTACCACAACTATGACGACTTCCGAGCGACATTCAAAGCCAAGTTTGGCGCGGCGCCGTATGCAGAGCCAAATGTGGCCGAGCAATGGTGCGTTCTTCCCATGGTTCACAATCAAAGTAAAACTTGGCTAAAATGCAGATATAGGTCCAATGGTGCCAAGGTAGACGGCAAGGCCGCCACCAAGAAATTCGAGGTTTTCAAGGCGTGGTTTGGCAAGAATGTGGCACCCACCACAGCCGACGCCGCCAACAAGGCCGCCGTCATCGTCCCGGTTCTTAACCAACGTCTCACGTACGATGGGTGGTGCTATTGGAATCTCATACCAAAATATGTCTAACATTGAAAGCAGGAAATCAACCAAGAGTCTGCATCCGACCATTCTCGCACCTATTCTCGGCGCCCCGCAGATGTCGGCGCCATGTAAGTCAACTCCCATCATCCCCTTCCTGCCGACCTACCATGGACTGACTTTTTTCTTTTACTTCGCTTTACAGTTGCCCAAATTGCTGTAGAGGGCAACAATACTGCCTACGTGCCCTTTTCTGCTGGTGTTTTCGGTGCCAAGGGCGACGACGTCATGCTCGTGCAGACGATGAAGCGCGCGTTCGACATGGCCGCGTGGCGCGTCCGCGTGGACGCGGGACGCTTGACGTTTCCGGTGGGAAACAACACAAGGGGCGTAGACGATCATCGTCGCGATCCGTATCCTCCCCCCGTTCCAGGCGGAATTTCGGTGGCGAAACCTGGGGGTTCTGAGCTGTAGCACGGGGGAAAGAAATGACATTTTTGCCGTACATGGCTCGTAAAAGATTCATGTAACTTTATTCAAGAACAGCTACTACAATTGATCTCAAGTTCTGTCTGGTGTGGAAGAATGGCATGACCGAATCTTGCGTTCTAGTGATCGCTTGAAGGCTTGGTGGGACGTGACGACGCGCAACAAACAAGGCGTACGCAAACGCATACTACACAATGAACTAGGGATTTGAGTATTATTAGTGACTCACAGTATAGACCAATTATGAATTCGTTTGATATATTTCTACGTTGCTTGAATCTTGCGTGGCTTGCGCGTATGATTATTCGGCTACAAGATCCGGCTCTACTACTCAATCGGGCAAGTCCGAATCCCATCCACCGGACGTCATTGGACAGATTGGATGAGACGTTCAACTGAGTCACGACATGAAAACATGCTGTCAAAGATTTTAAGCGACTGATACTCCGTACACATCACATAGATGGTACTGTACATGATTGTAAATCGCCGTACATTGCCGTCATTACCATCACATCCTCCGCGCCGTGCTGCGCACCGACATGTCATCCGGCGCGAGTACGTGGTTTTCGCGCCGACCGCAGCCGAGTTGGACGCCGCCGCCGTGATGGCGTTGCGCGACCCGCGGCGTTTCCTCGCCGTTCATCGCCGACGACGCCACGCCCTGCTACGAACCTCGGATCCAAAAACGACCGATGCTGGAAAGAGCTTGTTGTTTCTGGCAAGTAGAAATGTACAGGGTTTGTCTGAGAGATGGGGATTTTTTTCTAATCGGTTGACACTCCCACTCATGGCGACAAGATCTAGTAAATCCACGAAGCAAATGGGAAGCTCTGCGGACTCACGGATCTGGCGATCGCCGGGCGGCCCGCTAGCCGGATTTTCATATCCACAGCAGCCGCCGGCCCCCATCAACAATAAACATCAACTGCTTTTCGACGACCAGAAATTGTTGATATTCCGCTTCCCTATAACGCCGTAGAATCATGTCCCCCCGGTCCAAATCATTCCAGAACGCCGTACAAGAACCCTCCCGACGTTCGTCTCACACTCTTCGGCCCATCACCGCATCAATGTCGTCGTCGGGCATGTCACGCCACCCGCGCACGGCCTCGCGCCAGCGCACCCGGCGCCACTGCAGACACGGCACCCAGCAGCAGCACAGCACGGCGACGGGCAGGCCGAAGCCGACGCCGAGGAAGAAGCCGCGCGCCAGCGACCGCCCGCCCGTGATGTGCTGCCCGAGGCCGCCCTGCGTGACCGGGTTCGCCGACGACGGCTGCTGGTCGTCGTCGTCTGCCTCGATAGGCGCGAGGGCGGACTGGGCACAGGTCACGACGGCGAGGGCGAGGAGCGCGAGGAGCGTCGTGGGCATTGCTCCCAATAGGTTTCTGGGGGGCGAGGCTGTTTGTGTGTGGGTATATGTTGTTGTTCCCCGTTCCCCAAGTTGAAATGCTGCGCTCGCCTTTTTCCGTGAAAACGGTCGTAGCGGATCGCACAAAAAAGGGGTCCTTATTGGTATACAGGTGCAATGTATCGTGGTCATAAAGATGGGGGAATAATAGGTTTTTATTTCTGGTGTTCCAATGTTGCCTGTTGCCAGTCTATTCTCAAGGGTGTGTGTGGGTGCGCGCCTCCATCGCCATCTCGAGACTTGTGTTGCCTCCATCAAGTGGGTCCAGATCTAAGTTGAAGGTTGTTGTTTTCCATTGCTTCTTTAGTCGCTTCTCGCATCGCCAAACGACGTGTTGATGACGCCTATGCCTCGTCTTCAAGATTGCTCTCTGCGCGTCTGTAAAAAGTATCGACGTGTTAGGGTAGAAGCCCTAGCTATTAGCTGTGGCTCTAGCGGCTCTGGAGAGCTGGTCTTGATGGTAACAGGCTCTTGCGCATCGAATTGATCGGCTAGCAACAGCACGCGGTGCATTGTAGACTTGGTGGGAGGTCATGGACAAGTCTATTCCATGGGTGTGCGGTGCTGTCAGATGGGGCGAGGGAATAAGAATACTTGACGGAAATGTGCACGGATATAACCTCGCAATTGCCACAGAACGGAACTCAGGTACCAGCGCCACAGTGGCGCGAATCTGCTGTGCTGTTGTCGTTACAGCATGCATCACCTCATTTCCAATTTTCTTTATTGTTTCTTCTTCTCTCTTTTCCACTCATTTTCCTCTTCCAATTCACACTGAGTCGTCAATGCGGAACTCGTCAACATTTCTTGGCGCATCAATTGCGTACTCCCTTCCCTCGGCATTCCTCATTCGGCTCCCTACAGAGCTGCCCTGTACCAAAGCCTCGATGAAATATACTCGCGCCATCCTCCAGACGTATTGCTCCCATCCATTTGCGCTGATGAACAAGCACACCTTGTCTTATTTGTCGCGTTCGACTCTCCACCCATAATGCCCAATTCATCACATCGACGCCAAAGCCAACACGCCCCAGTCTGCGACGTCAAAAGCCCTACGCTGACCAATTCCAAGTCCAAGTCCCATCAAACAAAATACAAATACAAAGCGGCAAGGATGTTGGAGCCGCAAAAAAGGAGGCCAGGGACACGGCCGAATCCCAAACATCCCGTGTCGAGCCATCCCGTTTACATGTAGCAGTGGTGGACTTGGGCCTTGTTTTGGACGGGAAAAAAACAACATATTCCGCTGTGGACGGCGGAACGGCTACCAAGTAGCACGTCATCATGGGCTACAATTCTTGGCGAATCAGAATCATCTTTTCGAGGCATTTGCACTGATGGGCTGATGTGGACGTCTTAAGAGCAAGTTCCACGCAACCACACAGCAAAGCTTGCAAAACAAAGCAAGAAACAAAGATACCCGAATTCATAGCCATGAGCTACATCAATTCATACGCTAGAGTAAAAGTATACATCTCCGGACAACCCAAAATATTCCTTGTATTCAACAACACGCACTGGCTGTTTCGTGCACGCCCATGCTTGTCATGCCCCGTAATAAGAAGAAAAAGTGCCAAAATTCAACAGAAATAAGGTATATATGTGAAGAGAAACAGTCCAAAAAAAAAAAAACAAAGAAACTGTAAGTGGTACTTATATGATGCCACCGGGCGGACCGTACCCCGAAGACGTGCCCCCTGCGCTACCGGGGTCACCGTCCATCGGGGCGCTCGTCGTTTTGCGGAGCATAAACATGGGCTTCTTTCCTTCCTTGTCTAGCTGCTTAAAGAGAATGAGAGGCTTCTCGTCCATGGCCAGACACCGCTCCTGGTCGCCGTACACAATGTACAAAGCGTACTGGTCCCAAGGTGCGTTGATTTGGTACTTGCGCAGCGCCGCTGGTAGAACTTTGTAGCACGGGTCTTCCATAGAGACCCGAAACGATTTAAAGATCTCGACTGAGCCGGGAGGGTGGTTCGGGGTATCGGGCACCGGTACGGCCACCGGCGTCTCGCGCCGTCGTGGGGCACTCGTCTCGCTGTAGTTTCGTATCGACGGGGTGGCCGTGTCGCTGCGGTAGGAGCGTGATGCGAGCGTCGTGCCGCTCAGGTAATTTTGCGGAGATGTGGGAGAGGGTATGTTGGGCGAGTATCCGGGAGAGGAGGCGTTATGGCCAGAGCCGTTCATGGCGGCAAGATGAGTCGATGACAAGACGGCGCGTTCGGCGGCGCTGGCAGGGTCTAGCGTTTGCTCAATGGTTCTTTCATGACCAGCTTGTGTGGGCGATGAGCTTTTTGGCGTAGCTCCTATCAGGATTCTGCGTTGCGAGTATTGGCGTTTTACGCCGCCAATGCCGGTGCTACCGCCGGGAGGCGTCGGCCCAGAACTCGAAATGTTGCCAGCTTCGTATGTGTATCCCTGGCCACCCGACGTAACATTGGGTAGGGGCTGTTGGGCATCCTTGGCGATTCGCAGGGCAGGCAAAACATCTTCGCGTAACCGTCGAAAGTCGTCCGTCATGCGTCGTAGGTCCCCCTCGAGCAGGTTCATGCGCTCGTCGCGTAGCCTTAGCTGTTCGACAAGGTGCTTGATATCCTTGAGGGTCGCTGTGGCGTACTGAGCCTCGGCGTCGGCAGCTGTAACCAGTTAGCAGACGCAATAGCAATGATACGGTAGGACGTACACATTGGTAGATAGTGATCCGACTCCATGGGTATATCCTGTGCCTTTTTGACATCGTATACACTCTTGAGGATTGTTAATCTGTGACCGACACTGGCGATGCCCATGCTCTTCAAATCGTCGTGGAGCAAGGCAACCAGAGCCTCTCCAACAATTTCGTTTTCTTTTCGCACAAAGTTAGCTTCTATTCCACCCCGGTGCGTGCCAACACCAAGTCTCCAAGTTATACGTACCAAGGAAATGGTCGGCATACTGGGAGAGGCCGATGTTGCTGATGAAGTCGGCGCACTCGTCGACAGTCCACTCGGAGATGATGGTCTCGGGCAGGCGGTCAGCACTGCTGTGACGGCCATATGTGGTGGGCGTGTGTTCGGCGGATGTCGAGAGCTCAGAATCGATAGGGGAGGCTTCCGAGTCGCCGACTGGGGAGTGACCGCCCATGCTGCGCTCGTACTCGTCGTCGGCATCCGACTCAGCGTATGCGGTGCCGCCCTCGAAAGCCATGGCAGGTCGTGTCGAACCGGGACGGTATCGTCGTGAGAGCAAGGTGAAGTGGTGTTTGGGGGCGCCCGTGGCGAAGCTGGCCGTTCAGCTGGGCGCCAGGGCAAGAAGAGGAGGGGTTTCTGCAACGCAGGCGAGGTGGGCCAAGTTCCCCTACCAGCAGCAGTCGCAAAAAGCTCTCGTCGTGCGGGTGAGTCGCTCGCAAAAGCCGGCCGATTTTTTGTTGTCTTTTCGGGCGGTGCCGGTCGTGGTGCCAGGGGCAAGGCCAAGCGGACGCGCAAGCTCGATTTTAAGCCGATGGATGAACTGGGAAGGCGATGGAGAAGCGGCCGTGCACGATGGGCGGCTCGAGGCTGCGAAGAAAAATACGAGGTGGGCGGATTTCTCGAAGCGGGCTTGAGTAGGGGAAAAGCTCGAAGAAAGAGGGCGAGGGTCGGCAAGAGGGGGTTTATCGAGAGAGGTGGGAGATTGGGAGGACCCGTTGCGATTGCAGAGGCGTTGGCGTGTGACGAGAGCCGCGTGTGATTGAGGACAAGAGAGGGGGGGGTTGAAAGAAACGGACGGAAACGCTCAATAACTACACAACGGAAAGGCGGCGCGGCTAGAGAAGAGGAACAAAAGGAACAAGGGGAGGAAGAGGAAAAGCAAATGTCGTGGGTTCGGGACGGGTGGTTGTGAGGGAGGAAAATGCAACCAAAGGAGGTGGTACCAGGAGACTGGCGAGGGGGCGGCGGCGGCGGCGAATAGAGCGATGGAAAGATGGAGATGGCAATGGGAGATGGAGATGGAGGTGTCAGGTCGCTGGTGGTAGCAACAGGTACAGTGGGCTTTGTTTTCTGCCCTGAGCAGGGGGTACCTGCAAGACAGCGAGAAAAGGCGCACGGAAAGAAGTACCGATGACGTTCCTTGCAGCACGTACCTAAGCCAAGGTACAGGCCTAAATTTAGAAGAGCGTTATTTGTGCCACAGCTTCGCTGTTAGTACTTAGTACCTAGTAGGTAGCTGGGGAGGCGCGCCATCCGTGCAGCGAAGCTGTAAGCTGCAGGATACACTCTAAACCGGGCGCTAAAAGCGAAGAAATTAAATGAGGTATCTCTCTACCTACGTACTACGGTACCATGGTCATGATAGTTAGAGCGTCTAGGTAGGTGAGCGTTACGGATGAGTCGTGGCCTGTTCTTTGATGCTTTTTGCTTGCCCATTGACGAAATGTTCAACGGCCGCGGTAATTACAGCGGGTTCCCCGAAGGAACAGCGGCTTTACAGCGGCTTTATTCCAGCGCCATCAACTGCGTCAAAATGCCCGCTGTAAGTCCACTGTAATCTCCAACGACGCCCCCAAACTCCAATTATGCCCAGCTTCACAAACCACCAACAGGCGCTGTCATCATCAACCCATCATCACACGCCCATCATCTGCATATCTGCATCTGCACGTCCCCTTTTCTCTTGCAGCCTCCCCCGTCACATTGCAGAGAGTTTTCTACAAATAGCACACACACACGCACACACAACCCATGGCTGATCCCCAGAATCCATCGCCCTGCCTGTCAACCCCGCTAACTGCCGTTATCCCCTGCATCTCACGACGGCACAACAACCCCGTCTCGGCGTGCCTGCAACTGAATACTCTTGTCTAGTTACTTCTTCCTCCCGTTTCTCCCCCTTCGGTCTCTCAAAGCAACCAGGCCCCTGTGTTCCGTGTTTTGCTGTCCATCCTTTCCACCGTCACTCCACTACCACCTCCTCCTCGGCTCCTTTACACCGGCGTCGACTTCTCATCAGCCTTTCTGCCCTTTCGGAATGAACGAGCCGTCACGACACTGACACAGCCAAGCGAGACCCTACTACAGTCGGCAATGCCCGGACGCCTTGGCCTTTCCGCCCTCTTGTATATAAATAGAGAGCAGGAGAGAGACTGTGCGCCGGTGAGAGCGATGCGCCTTTGTGGCGGCCTGTGCAAAACGCACCGAGTAACGTCGTCCCATCGACGATTTCCAACTTTTTTGTCTACTTCGTCTCCCAGTAGTGCCTGTTTCATCAAGCGTGCTATCTCGATCCGTTCGGGTGTCCCTCGCCCTCACCCACGCAGTCTCTCTTCCCACCCGCCTCCGTTGGCCCGGATCTAGGCTATCCCATTCTCTGAATGCATGGACGTCCAACTACCAAAACCCACGCCAAGCAACGGCTGCGGAAACCCACGTTCCATACATCTATCGTCAATTTCCTCTTCTATATCGCGGAACCGTTAAGAGACGGGGAAAAGAAATCAACATCTGCAGATGCACTGGGCATGAAGAAAACCCACGCCGCATGATAATGCACAAGGCCCACCACCACCAACCCCCTACGTGGAAATATTGAATCGCCACATATGGTGGGCTGCGCACCAAGAGGAAACATCATGCCATCTGCTGTCCAATTCGCGGCAGTCATTCAGCAGGTCCTCAGCGCCGCCAACGACTCCAGATGTGCTTGACAAATAACTGCAGCCCGTGAATCCCCTCCAGACCTGGCAGAAACTATGACATGATGTCTACCCTAAACGTCCACGTCAGTGACAGCACCACACCCCCAAGTCGACTAAGGGTAGGCCGTAGAAGCAAGCACAATATGCTTCGTAGTCGTAACCATCCAAGAGTATTCCATCCTTGGCCGCTCATCTCGTTGGGTAAATCCTTGCGCTGCCAAGGTGCTGCCCTTTGCAAGCCCACCTATCGCCTCCACGCGTGTTTCACCTTCACCAAGCGCAAATCACCACAAGCAATCCCTCCGTTCGACAGCCTGTTAAACCGCGCACAAGGAATACATAGTAGAATAATCGTATATTGTAAATATTCACCTATTATGTACACCTCCCATACTTCATTACCCATTATCCTATCCATGCGTCTACGGCCATGCCACACATCGCCGTCTCGTCCCTCCTTGCGCATACAACTCATTCTCAACCGCCGGAGATGTGACAGCTTCAAATTGATTAAATAAAATTAAAAACCACCCAAGCGGGCTGCAGTCATGCCCTCGCAGATGTGATGCCTTGGAGCAGAGAAAAGTGTAAATGCAGCGAGGCCTCGCCCAGTCTTCAACACTGCGGCTCTATTCAAAACCAACCAGCCAACCACTGAACGCCTCTTACATGTGATTATCGTCTTTTGCAGCTGATCAACGCCTCTTCCAACTGATTATCGTCCTCTACAGCTGAAAGTGATGGAATGGGCAACATGATATATAACAAAAAAAAAGGTTCCAACGCCTATGTAATGCTGAATGTTTATCGGAGTGGGAGCTTGGTGTCCTCGACACCATGGCGGATGACATCCTCTACCTGCCATCGTGGCGGGTTCACCGGAATGCCATTGGCGGCACGCCATTCGCACTCTTGCTTGTGCGTCATGGTAGGCAAGTTCTTGGGCAAATGAGGAAGACCACCCGCAACACCTGTCGAAATCTTGAGCTGCAGCAGCTCAGCAACCTCCTCACAAGCCACTAGAAGACGATCCATATCCTCCTTGTTGTGTGCGGAAGAAACACAGAATCGCGCACGCGAGCTGATTAAAGGCGTGGCAGGGTATCCCACAACGACGACCGAGACCTTGCGCTTCAGCATCTCGTGGCTAAAGGCAGGCATCTTTGCGGGGTGATAGAGCAAAACAGGAATGATGGGCGAATCGTCGTGGCCATATACAATGAAACCCAGGCGTTTGAGTCCGAGACGAAGGTATCGAGAGTTAAAGGCAATACGGCGGAGACGCTCCTCGCCCTGTCCAGGGCAGACCTCGCCAGTGATGAGCTTGAGCGAGACCAGAATCTGTTGGAGGACGCAAGGGGCAGGAGACTCTCCAAGCTGCGTGGCGGCATTGGTGGCCCGAAGCTTATCAATGATGGCCTTGTCGGCAGCAATATAGCCGCCGTTGGCGCCAAAGGACTTAGTTAGAGTTCCCATAAGGATATCCACCTCGGCAGGGTTAATGCCGAAGTAGTCACACACACCACGTCCGTTGGGGCCAAGAGCACCGACCGAGTGGGCCTCGTCAACAAAGAGATAGAACTTGTACTTGCGCTTGAGCGCGAGAATGCCTGGCAAATCACACATGGTGCCCTCCATCGAGTAGAGGCCTTCCACAACGACCAGAATTTTCTTCCAAGGTCGGTGAGTGCGGGGTTGTCCCTGAGAAATGGCCTCTCTAAGGACACGCTCGAGGCTGTTAGTGTCATTGTGGCGGAAAGACTGAATGACAGCACCAGAGAGACGAGCACCGATACGAATGGAGGCGTGGTTGAGCTCGTCGGAAATGATGAGGCAGCCCTTGCTGACAAGAGCAGGGAAAGAGCTTGCGTTGGTGACGTAGCCCATGGAAAAGACCAGGGCAGCAGGCTTTCCGACAAAGGAGGCAATCTCACGCTCAACCTCGAGGGCAAGCTCCGAAGTGCCAGCCTCGGCTCTGGGACTGCAGAAACTGATACCGTAGCGCTTTACGCACTCCTCGACGGCATCCGCGCATGGACCGCTCGACTGAGCAAAGCCGAGGTAGTTGTAGGAACTCATATTGAGAGTTTCAGTGTGGGTGCCTGTGTACTTGTAGGACAAGTTGAAGTCGTAAGAGATGCGGTCCAAGAGGGTAATGTAGCGGCCTGGGACGCCAATGGTGGTACGAGCAAAGCAGTCATCGAGACGGCGCTTCAGACGGCGTGTGTAAAAGCTGTCAAAGTCGTCGTTGAGCGGGGCGTAGCCATTTTGCAGCTTGAGAGCTCGATACAGCTTCTTGTCTCCGAAGCGCTTGCCAAAGAAGTCGCGGATGTGGCCGAGAAGAATGAGAATTAAGTAGCTGATGTAGGTGGTGAGTAGGTAGTAGTAAGGAGGCTCGTCCTCGATGGGAGCATCGAGGGGCTCTCCGTGGGATTGTGACGTGTAGAGGTGCGCGGGGTTGGTGAGGGGACCAAACTGGGCATCGGCGATGCGCTGACGCTCAATCTCCTCGGCCGTCTCAGGCTTGAAGATTGTCGTGGTGGAAGTCTCAAGCGTTTGGTCGCTGGCCATGGCACTGGAAAGCGAGATGGTGGGCAGCGGGACGGTGGCTGGCGAGATGCCAGCAAGCGAGCCGTTCATCGACTGAAGCTGAGAATCGCGGGCGCCAACCTGGGCAAACAAAGACCTATCCAGGCCAGGCTGATCGGCCTGCAGCTGCATGGCGAGCAGAGACTTCTGAGCCGCAGAAGTGTTATCCTTGGACTTTGGGCTGGACGAAAAGAGCTGAGAGAGGCGGTTGGACTTGGAGGTAGAGGGACGTCTCTCCCTCTTTTCAGACTGCGGCATGGCGGGAGACGCGGAGAAGGGGTTCTGGAGTCGGCGCGGCATGCTTCTGGCTAGATTCGAGGGAAGAGCCAAGAGAAGGAAGAGCCGGCGAGACGAGGTCTGGGCGGGCTCCGGTGCGGGTTGCGCAGGTGCGGTGAAAATGATCTAGCCAGGGGCGACGGTGGTTGGCAGTCGGGAGCGGATCGACGGATTGGGTTCGAGGCGAGCTGCGAAGCGGCCAAAGAAGCCAGTCAGCAAACTGCAGAGAAATCAATTAGAGAGATTGAGCGCAGTGATTGAAGAGAACGAGGCAATCTTGCGAGGCATGTCTGGTGGAAGATGGTGCGGGACGGTGGACGGGAGCTTGGTGTCTTTGGGCGCAGGGAGAGGGCTGGTAAGCTGCCCGGTGCGGCGGCATCCATCCATCCATCCCCTGAGTCCCCACCCCTGTCATGATGGCAGAAATTGGGCGGAAGAGCCGGGGATTCGCAGCACTGCGACGAGGAGAGCACTAGGCTGAAAGAGGAGACTATTGGGGGGTGTGGTTTCTTGGATATAGCGATGTCGTGTGATTTCCCTCGATGCTTACCAGTGGTTTGTAGCTTGCCGGGTTGAACGCGAAGGTGCCGCGTGGATTTGTGGCTGACGTTTGCACAACAGGCGAACGTCACGAACAGTGGCGCAGGAGAAAACAATTGACTTGAAGGAATGACGGATGGCGTATTGAATGAAAGTATCTAGGTTGTTTGTAGGAAAGAGGGAGAGTACGATAGTTAGGAAAGCAGATAGAAAAATCACTAGATGAGAAAAAGTACGGAGTATAGCCGGAGAAACAAAGCCGGCAAACAATATGGAGAGTCAGTCCATGACGCCGATGCTGGGCGAACAGGCCACAGCAGGTGAGCGGGTCTTTGCATCTACCTGCGAACCACTAACATGCGCTAGAAACGAAAAAAAAGGTCAGAGAAAAAAAAATATTTTTGGGGGGCAATTTCAGCGATGCAGTGGGGTAAACGAGGCTCTCTAAAATTAGGGGGCGAGACAAGCCCTCAAAGGGTTTAGCGCCTGTCCTGGCCGCCGGTTCAACCAATACACAGCTGCAGCTTTTTGGTTATGGAATACAAAATCAAAGGCAGGTCAAAAGCTGGCTAACTACAAGAACAAACCATGTGGGATATTCTAGTTACTAGATGTGCTAGTAGAGCTGCGGTGTTGCCCTGCTTCTAGCTCGCGGCACCTCCCACAACAGCCCACCCGGCCTCTTCCGGCTTGTCGGAGCCTCCGGAAGCCGCCCGTCCCGCCTGGTCTCATGACGAGGCCGATTTGCAATATCTTGCCCGTCGCCGGCCAGCCCGCTGGAATTGTCGGAATCGGTTTTTCGCGATCGGGCGCGTGTCCGATTGCTTCCCGAGTCTCTTGCACCAGCACACTCCTAGCTACCTCGGTAGTCTAGCTCGTCCGACGGACATGGCGTGTACAACGATTCTCTATGGACCATCTCCTGCATATTTGAAGTCATTTCGAGATACGCGCATATCTATCATCACGATCTTTACCTTTTTGTACTCTTCACAGCCATCCTCTTAACGTTGCAGAGACTCAGCTGTAGCTGGACGGGTTGGCGAATGTAAGCTGCTCTCTAGGTACATCATTTTAGCTACTGCTTCCTCTTACTGCCATAAAGATCCTCACCCTAGTAGGCGATATGCCCTGAAGTTTAAGAGAAGATAAAATCAATAAGAGCCACCTATCCAGTCGATACCCCAAATTTCTCCCTATTGTCGTTGTGTTGTCAAGTTGCACTGCTGGAATCCGCAAAGACGCCTCAGGCTCTCCAGGCGCTGCCGCCGCTAACACCAACCTCACTCATCCAGAGTTCTGTGCCACAAAAAAACTTCCATCTGACCATGGCGCGCGCCCACGCAGTCATGTCCCTCGCGCGCTCTCCCTATCGAATACAAGGCCGTCATCTCCTCTCTCAATGCCGTCCACTCCCCGCCCTACCAGTCTGCGGCAGCGCGCGCCGCTTCCACAACTGCGCCGCCCAGCACCACGCCGCCTCCTCCACCGCATCATCCCACGCCACGCCACCCAAACGAGGGCTCCGCGGTCTCGGGCTTCTCAAAGGAGGCCAGGGAAGCAAGCCGCCCCGCGGCGAGACCGCAGCCCCGGCCGCCACGCGCTACATCCTGGGGCAGAGCGCCGACCAGCCCATCCGCGCGCGGTTCGCGCCCTCGCCCACGGGGTACCTGCATCTGGGCTCCCTCCGGACGGCGCTGTTCAGCAATGTCGCCGCGCGGGCGAGCAAGGACGGCGGCGCCTTTGTCCTGCGCATTGAAGACACAGACCAGGTGCGCGCCCCCGTCTTTCATTTCTGGTACGCGAAGCTAACCACGCTTGTTCTTCAGAGCCGCCTCGTGCACGACGCCGAAGAGCGCCTGCTGCAGGATCTGTCCTGGGCCGGTCTCTCCTGGGACGAGGGTCCCGACCGCGGCGGCCCCTACGGTCCCTACCGCCAGGTACGTCTTCCCACTCCCCATCCTTGACGCAAAACTGAACATGGTTGCCAAGTCGGAGCGCTTGCCCATCTACAAGGAGCACGTGCAGACGCTCCTCGACACGGGCCACGCGTACCGCTGCTTCTGCAGCCCCGCGCAGCTCGACGCCCAGCGGCAGGCCCTCCACGAGGCCGGCCGGCCGACGCTGTACCCGGGCACCTGTCGAGCTGTCGACGGCGACGAGTCGGCGCGGCGGGCGGCGGCGGGCGAGCCGCACGTTGTGCGCTTCCGCGGTGGCGCCGCGGCCGGCCGGCCGGCGCTGCGCGACGCCATTTACGGAAATTTTCAGAAAAGTGAGGACGAGGAGGACTTTATCCTGCTCAAGTCGGACGGGTTCCCGACCTATCACCTGGCGTGCGTGGTGGACGACCACCTCATGAAGATTACACACGTTATTCGCGGAGAGGTACGGAGCACTTTTCGCCCCTCCCCTTCATCTATTGCAATCGAGGAGCTTAATACTAACGTGCGACGGTACAGGAATGGCTCATCTCCGCGCCCAAGCACATCGCCCTCTACCAGGCCTTTGGCTGGACACCGCCCATCTTTGCGCACCTCGGCCTGCTCGTCAACCCCGACGGCACCAAGCTCAGCAAGCGCAACGCCGACGTCGACCTGTCCACCTACAAGACGGGCGGCCGCATCTTTCCCGCCGCGCTGCTCGCCTGGCTCGCCAACCTGGGGTCGTCGTTCAAGCCCAACGTCCCCCCGCCCCGGTCCGTCGCCGACATTGCCGAAGCCGTACGTTTTCTTTTCTTTCTATTCTCTGCTTCTTCTTTCTAATTTCTCTGTTTCTCTGTCTACTGCCTGGCTAACTGATGTCACAAAATGTAGTTGACGTTCAAATTCACCCGTGGTGGCATCAAGCTCAACATGGAGAAGCTCGACTACTTCAACGCCAAGTACCGCGACGTGCTCCTCCGCGAACCACTCGCCTCACTCCCCGCACACGAAGCCGCGCTTCTCCGCACGCACCTCCTCGAGCCGACCCTCGCCGCCGTGCAGACGGCCACCGGTCAAGGCGTGGCCGCGTGGCCGCACGCCTCCCTCCCGCTCGAGCGAGTGCCGTCGCTCACCGACGTCGCCTACGTCCACGCCGTGCTCGCTAGCCGCGACGGGGGCTTCCGCACCGCCGACGACGTGGTCGCCCAGCACCCGTACCTGTTTTGGCGACCGCCGCAGGCCGTCTATCGCGCGTCCGTGGCCGCCACGCCACCCGATGCTCGCGTCCTGGCCGCGCTGGAGCAGGTACTCGCGCGAGACGAGCTCTGGGGCCAACGCGACGGCCAGCCGGTGGTGGAGGCGCTGCGTATGATTCTGGATCCGCAAGGCATCGAGGCACTGACCATGCACAACGTGCTGCGTCTGGTGGGTGCGGGCGGTCAGGACGTCGTATCGCAGAGCAGCGGCCGCATGTTTGCTACGCTGGGTCGTGACGAGTGGTTGCACAGGCTGCGGTGTGTGCAGGATCTTGTGTAAAACAGACGTTGGTGGCCATTGCCAGCGAAACGACATGTACAACTCCAGGAAATCGCATGTACGACTACTTGTATTACTACTACAGATGCCCAAAATTATAGCATTAAAGCAAACACGAGCTCGCAAACACACAGTAATGGGGCACGTTTTGGTCATTGGGGCGTAAGATTCTCTTTCAATTATGGTTTGATGAGCGGCTGAGCAGCTTAAATGTAAACAAGATAGGGATTAAGAAACCAGTCCAAGCTGTGATGGATAAGATGTAGATGATAAACCATTAAGTCGTTACTTGTCGCGAGAAATGTCGGAGTGCCCACGTCGACGATGGACAAATGCTAATTGATACACGGTGGGGTAGAAATTACGGACAAGACGGACGACGAGGCGTCCGTAGCTTCTTTCCGTACAAAAGGGAAGGGAAGTGAAGTAAGAAAAGGAAACGTAGAAAAGAAACGCAATTGGAACCAGCACGGCAAGTGGTTGCGTTGCGCGTGGGGTATATGGCTGGCCCAAAGTCTAAACCTCAAAAACCCAAATCTAATAAAAACCGTTGGTTAGCTCTATCCAGAAGCGGCTGGGTGTAACATTTCGAACAGTAGGATTAGAGGTGCGGGGTCTGCGCCTCGGAAGAAAACTTACTTCTATCTTTCCAATTTCCTGTCTTTGCCTCTTTGCGGCCTCCTTGGCACTCAGCATGGCCATTTCCAAATCGTCCTGGTCACCCATGGTAATCATGTCACCGTTGGGCATATCCTCATCCTTGAACTTAATCTTGAAGCGGCGGCGCATGCCAAACTTGTCTCGAATGCGGTCGACGAAGTCGGGGAACTCTACAGCGCCACCGATCATGATGTAGCGGACGTCCTCGGCATGGACCTTGACTCGGAACTTTCGAACATCGGGTCGTCTTGATGTGTTGCGGGAGCCATTGGACACGGAACCCGGGACGCGCCGATTGTTTGAGACCATTTCAAATTCGGCTCCGTCTAATGAGCCGTCATAGTCTGATGGCGCATCATCCTCCTCTTCGTACCGCTGGGATGGCCTTCGGCGGGTTTCTTGTCTGCTGCCACCTCTCGATTCTCTTTCTTTGCGGCCGGCGTACATGTCGTACACGTCACTATTGGCGTAGGAATCTTCTTCAATTGTCTTGGTGGGTCGGCGCTGCAGTGGCGGTGGTTCTCTTTGAGAGAAACCCCGTGACGGCAGCGCGCTTGACGCTGAACGTGTCGCGTTGGGTCGACCGTCGTCTGGGGAGAAAGAAGCCTTTTCGTACTTGCGATTAGACTCTTGTGATTGAATGTTTAATCTCGCGAGCGTGGGCCTGCCACCGTTGCGGACAGAAACGCCGCGGGACGGGCCACGATCGTTCTCTGGTGGGGGGGTGGGAGGGAATACATTGCGGCTGGTGCTTGGTGGCTCTGATTGTTGTCGTCGAGACTGGATACCGGGCTTGACCAAGTTGGTAGCAGCAAATGAAATGTTGTCAGAGGGTCGGTCGTCTTTGACCTCGGTCTTGACGGCCTGTAGAAGGGGTTAGCGGGAGTTCTGGGAACTGTGGTTTGGTATACTTGCGATTTTCATTTCTGACCCTGCAAACCCAGTAAAGGCATTGGAACGATCCGACGCAGCAACTAATCTGGCTTTACCCAGGTAATCTTTGGTCTTGAGATTGCGGACCTTGGCCTCGTTTGGTCGGTATACGACGCCGACTGGGATCGAGAAGACGGTATATCCCTGGTGGAATGTTAGGAATTGGTTGTCTTGCAGCATCGGCGACACTTACATCGGCTTCCTCGCGAATCGCATCGTCAATTACATCGTGGTCTTCGACAACTTTTTCCTTGACAGCAAAACTCAAGTCCTGCATACCGGCCTCCTTTTGCTGGAGATAGATATAGCAGAGACCACGGTTGAAGAGTACCTCGCATGAGTATAGTTTGAAGAGCAGACCTAATTGCGCATAATCAATCATGGTATTGCCGCGGAGGTAGAGAAGTGTATCGTTGAAATTGGCGAGGGCTTCCTCAAAATCGCCGAGGAGGAAATTGGAGACGCCTTGTTGGAAATAGGCGACGGCGAGATACTGGTCGAGACGAATAGCTCGCTGATAGCATTCAACCTGCAAAGAGCGGACAAAGTCAGCATTTCAATGGCAAAGGCAGCCAGAAAGGGTCCAGACTTACAGCCTTTTCGTGCTCGCCGAGGGTGGCATGGATGACACCCATGTTAAAGAGAATCTTGCTGGTGTCGCATATCTTTTCGAAGTCGCCGAGAGCATCGTCAAATTCATTGTTGTCGTATCGTGCGAGGGCCGAAACCCATGTCTCGATTTCCTGGAATCGCGGTCAATGAGAGGGGCAGGTACGGGTGGTGGAGTGATGCGCAGCCAGAACTTACCAGCTTCAGAGACATGATGATGGCCGAAGGCAGTGTGTACTGCACAAGTCGACGGGGAAAACACGAATTTGGCGATGAGGAGACGGGATCAGGGCAGTAAAGTCAATTTCGAGGGCGGAGAAAAAAAGAAGAAGGAGTACAGAAGAAGAGGAGAGCCGGGAATGCTGCAGGAGAATGCAGTGGTGCGGCTGGGGTAACAGCAAGTCGGGCGCTTATTAGTGTAAGAAGCACCAGTAAGAGGTGATAGATGGTGCAGCCAATACTTGGGACCTTGGCAGAGAGGGGGCGGGCCGTGTGTGGTCAGTGGATCACAGGATGCACAGTGGACCGGCGGTGGATGGCTGGATGCGCTGGATGGATGCAGTCTGCAGGACTGGCCCGTGGATGCCGGCACTCGTAGAAATGGAGGCGGTTGATAAGGTAGGGGTCGACCCTGTTCCAAGGCTCAAATCCAATGACGCGGAAATGCCCAAGAAATGAAATGTGTTGCTATTAGTGCACAAAGACCGCACGGTGCGTGGGCTCGATGGCGTCTTCCCCCACTTGCTAGCAGATGATTCGCGTCGGCCTGCTTTGATGAAGATGTCCGGGAGCTAGGTTGTAGTCGGGTGACTAGTAACTGTTTGTAGCTCGTGCCAAGGGTTGTTGATTGATACTAGGTAGTTGTTGAGTCGAGCCGTGTCCGTGTATTCGGGTCGTTGTCAGGTATGGTAGCTTGAACGAGAATACTGTCGACTTTCCACGTTAAATCATGGATGTAGCAGAACATGAAATAACGGCGACTTGGATAGAAAAGAAGGAGGAGGCTGCCAGAGCCAGGCTAGGAAATAGTCGAGTTGATATCCTCGTGGTCAAACGGCGTTGGTGTGCTTCGGAAACGACTGGACCGCTTAGCCAGCTGGAGCGGGGAATGCAAGGTTGTAAATTGGAAATGACAATGCAGAAACTATTGACTAAAGCCAAGACGTCGGCAAGTACGACCTTTTGCGCAGGCGTCGTGTTGTCTGGACCGGCCGTCGACAGCGATGTGTTTGCTTAGAGGATGCGAGGTAGCGAATGCAACGGTAGCCAGCCGAGAGAGAAAAAAAATGGGCGAGAGGGGACGAACGAGGTGGCTTGCAGAAAGGGCCCAGAAGGCTGACAAGAGAAGAAATGGCGAGAAAAAGGGTCCGTTAAAGAAGGAAATGGGAAAACCAAGCATATAGTTGGATGTAATCAGTGACAAGCCTGCACGGGGGAGTGCATGAGATGGCTTGCGGGCATTAAAAGACGGCATACTAGAACTGTGGGTGGTCAACTGCGTACCGGTGCTACCTTGGGGTACCTAATACCAATACCACCGCCCAACTATATCCCACGAGGTACCTGTGTACACGATTTATTTGGCTGGTCTTGGCCCGCGCTTTGATTGTGCTCGTGTTCATAGAGACAAAGAGAGAGTTCCTACCGAGAAAGTCCGCTACTTCAAAACTGGGTGCGACAATGCGTGTCAGACCAGGTACCACTGCGGAGGCTCAAGGCCATCTCCGACACAAACCCAATTATGGGGGCTCCCGCCAAATCGGTGCTGCCACCACCACAATCCATCCAACAATGCAATCAACAGTGCACCAGCCATCGCCACCACCCACGCTCTCTCTTCTCTTCCCTTTGACATCGTCCACCTCCGTCTATTGTCTCCTACATACAGCCGTCCATCGTGGGCTCTTGCATTAGCCCCAACCCACCCAAGGGGCTCTCCGCCCCATCCTGTTACACAACCATCACACCCAGATGCCCACCCCCAGCATCCATACTCGGCGCCAACACCCTCGTCTGCCAAGGAGGCGCGCAGGGGCTAGCATTTCGCCTGACTCGACTCCACGGCCCTGACATGTACCATGGCTTTACAGACACTGGGCGTGTTGGATGATGGATCCGGAAACCTCTGTCACAGGCTTCTGATGACAGAGTTGCGGCGTGGCTTGTCCTGGGTTGCTTTTTCTCTTTTCCCCGCGCATCCTAGTACTAACCCCTGCGAGCCAATAGGTAGCTGCGCTGTGAGCCTCAAGCCACCAGGTATGTACTCCGTACGTACATACATATCTTGGTGGCGGGTCTAACGCCGTCGCTCTGCTAGAACTGCTTGACGTCCGCCAAGACACGGTTGCGTGCTGCACGGTGATAGACAGCTCAGTGTTCAAGAATAGCATCAGCGACGCCATTAGCGAACAACCATAAGACCATTCCTGCAGGCCGATGCAGGTCCGTCTTGTTGAATGGCCCGATTGGGCGCAAGAAAAGACTGACTGGGAGCTTAGCAGGTCAACGATCCACAGACAAGCTTTCTAGGCGGCATTTAATACATATGATGCCTGTTCTCAAGCTGCTGCTAGGGTTACCCGCTCCGGGACCAGATGGCAACCCCTGCCTGCTCCAATGTTCCGTCAATAGCTTCCACCGCTCCGGGTATACCGCGTGGCGCTGGTTTGAACTAGATGGCACCAGGTCGCTGGAATACGGTACAGTGGACTCGTCATTTCTAGTCATATCCGCTGCATGGCCCTGAATTTCAAAAAAAAAAAAAAAAAAAATCTGGCTGGCTTCTCATTCCAACAACTTGGCTTGGCTTCACCCGATAACAACCTCAGGCACCGCGCATGGCAGTGGTGCAACCCCAAGAAACCGACAGCGCCCGTCAAAAGATGGATTCATATGCCAAAACGCCACGGCTACGCATGCCACGTTCTAACCAGCAATGCCGTTAGCGTGTTGCTATCTTGGGACGCAGGAGGTTACAGGAACATGCACTTCTAGCAGCTCATTGGTCCCTGCCCAAGCGCCCGACTTTACCCCTGTAACGTCTCGACGAACCCTTGCCCAATGTCCACACCACTTCCAACGTCGCCGTCGGCTCATTCACAAGCTACAACTGGCTATTTCATTTCTTGGCTCAGGAAGAAGAAATTCCGCTCTTCATGCCAAGCCTTGATAACTTAATCGTATTCCGACCGGCATGGTCACCTCGACAGGACAAGCATGTACATCATCTATAAACTACTCAGTATTACACCGTACGACATGCACAATTACATCAGTACCCGATCAAAATCTGCAGCTGTGCCGCATACTGAGGTTTCTCCGTTCGGCAATCCTTCAACCTGCACCCAAAAAGCTGCAGCTATCATACTCTAAGCTCCTGCTTGACATGTCAGGATCAAATGCTGCCAACCAGACGCAAGGAATACTCACGGCCGGCTACTGCCGATGCGAACAACGGTGGGTTTTACGCAACTAGTGTTCTATGTTTAGGTCTGGATCTGGGAGCTTCCCTTTCCCTCGACCGCCAGTTGTGGCTTCATCCCGCAGACTTTGGCCATGTGATGACTGATGAGGCACGTCCTCGGAGTGCAACTCTCATCACACCGCGCTCGTTCGTTGCCAAGGATATCCAGAAAGCCCAAGAATAGCCAGAAGGAGCCGCACTAAGAGGCCGTCCTGCTGTGGCACCCAGTGGCCGCTGGCAGCTACGCGCCGGCCCAAGGCGGTGACGGAGGACTATCCTCGAAGCGGTTATGGCCGTTTGGCCAAGACCCGGTCTAGAAGTACATTTCCTGAGTGCAAAAAAGCGCAAGAGGTGAGAGAAGAGAGTATCGATTTTCTGTCAACGACGTTGAGCGTATCAGTAGTCGTTTTAGTAACACGTTGTACTACAGATGGCCACGAGTCTAGTCTCCCAAGACACCACCTTGATGCAGTAGCACATTGTCTGTCGAGATGAGAATGTCTCGCATAGTTCATGCACCTCCGCCGTTGCCCGCGTCGTGGGGCTACGCACTGGTTCTTTCTTTGTCCAAGCTGATGCCATCGGCGCAAAGGTGTCACCTCGGTGGCACTTGTCCAAGCTGGTGTAGCTTGCACGATTTTGCGGCTTTGACGAGCCAAAAGAGTTCGGGGATCCATGTCTTTGTCTGGTTCAAAATGACGCTTGCCTGATTCACCGTGACGGTCCAGTTGATCTACATTCATGATCATGCAAAGTGCTAGCGGACTTTGTTGCCACATTATCATGTCCGCTCTTGTTGGTCACTTTGCCATAGTCTAGCAGACTCTCTCTACATAACATTGCTTCGGTTGTACATTCAACAGATGGTGTTGCAGTAGTCATTATATTATTCCAGCCGGCTTGAGCTTCGGCGTACAATGGCGCGATCTGCCACGTGCAAGCCGAGGGCACGCACTCAGCTCAAGCTCTTCATTTTCCGAGTGCGGGCGCAGCGTCAAGCCCTGCAAGCCAGAACTTCCCTTGGAAGGATCAGATGTCGAGTTGTTGACGGTAGAAAACAAGCTCAGGGCTGGCATGGACGTGGTAGAGAGCGCAACTAGTCATATGCCGAGTGCCTCGCAGCCGAAAGAAGAAAGAAGTCCGTCGCTGGTTGGTAGTCTGTTTTTGATAAACGATGAGTGTCGGTGGTGGCGGTTCACGGCATGAAACCTTGTTGGAACTTGCTTATGTGGACATTCACTTCGAAAATGTTACAGCTTGGCTTGCACAGAACAAGGTCAGACGAATGGTTTCAATCTAGGGCTCATCTCGGCTCATTCTATAATGCCCGTCAGATAAGAATCGCCCCCAAGCTCAGTCCGATCGTCTGAACATGTTTCATCATGTCTCTTTCATTTCCCTTCAACGCCACCCATTCTGTCACAGCTTCCCCAACGCCCTGCTAATGCAACCCTGCGTGTACAAGTGTACCATGCGAACATACCGGGCAAATCCTTACAGCATGCCCTTGGCCACCTCGTCCTTGCGTTCCTCCCACAGCGTCTTTCCCGTGCACGAGCACACCGTCTTGTCATTGTCCCACATGCCAGAACTCCGAGCAATGACGCCGACGACGGTGTCAGCGTCGTTTTTAAGTTGCGCACTCTCGGCCTGCTTGGTCAGGACCATGGCATGGCCAATAACCTCCCAAATGTGGAATGCGCGGTCGACAAAGACAGAGCCACGCCCGTCTGTGCCGACCTCGACGGTGCCAAGGAGACCCCTCGGCTGGCTCTCGTCCTGCTGCTGCGTCCACACGGGGCCCGTCGACTCGGCGCCGTCCTTGAGATCGCCGTACTGGCGAATTGTAGCGCGGTACGTGCCTGGCGAGACGCCGCGGACCGTCAGGTCAACCAGCGTTCTGCCCGCGCCGACCTCGACCATGCGCGCGAGGCCACGAACCTCGCGACTGGGATCCTCGTTGCCCTGCTGCTGCGTGAGCGATTCGGCAAAGCTCTCCAAGATGCTCACAGCCGCGCCTGTAAAAAGTGATTTGTTAGCATACTGATTTCATTATTCTGCGACTGTCTTGTCACAGACGCGAATACGGGCCTGCTGCGTGGTGGTGGGGAGGGAGAGCTGCAGACGGCAACATACTGTTTGAGGATCCTGATCCTCGCAGGATGGCATCTCTTCCGGTATCTTGAATCGCTTCAACAATTTTGGACGGAGCCGCTGTAATTCGGTGGAGAAGGCGTCAGCTAGAGAACGTGTGTGTACTGATATGTGCTGAGCGCCGGATGACGGCGCGGCGCGGTGGTGAAACGTACCAGAACCCTCGACGGCGATTAACTGGTCCTGAAGGTTGCCCTCGACTTTGGTGATGCCTCCCAGGCTGTAGAGCGCGTCCGAAACTGACTTGATACAGCCGTCGCAGGAGAGCGGCACGGCGAAGAGGGTCTGTGAGTTTTGGCGTGCGTGAGTATTGTTTCATGCGATGAAGTTGTAACCGAGGCTGTGCAAGATGAGAAACGAAAGAATGCAAGGGACGACAAAAAAAAGGAAAGAAACAAGGAAAGGAAGGGAAAGGAAAGAAAAGAGATTTTGAAAGTGACGCAGATGCTTACCTGAAAGGTGTGATTGACAGTCATTTTGCTCGGTGGTGCTGTACATGGCCGTCAGTTCCGGTTTGTATGTGGGAGCTATCGCGGGGGCGACACTTACTAGCAGCCGTCTCACCAGAGTGTGAGTGTGTTGTGATATGAGGTCTCTTATAGCGATGGATTGAATAACCAGCGAGGAAACATGCGGAGGATGTAGCCAGTGTCTTGAAGGTTGCAGACTTGAGCATAGCCCTTTGCTATCTCCCTGTGCTTGTGAGTTTGTTCAGAGCGGCATGGCGGGGACCTCTGCTTTGAAATCCGAAGCTTGAAATTACCCCAGCAAATAATTGCGTGAACACTGAATGAACTCTTCACTCGGAAGCCGAGCACCATGTTTTAACCACGTTTATAGCGTCCTTTGGCGTGCCAGTTAGCGGGCTTTCGTCTGTAAACCACTAAAAGACGGGCCTCGAGCTGCTAAACTACCCTAAAGCTGGGTCATCTTCTTTGCACGCGTCAGGTGACCTTCCCCGTTTAGTCGGCTTAGTCAGCCAGGTTTTTCGCACGCCGACGAGCGACACCGTGCCTAAACTTTTTGAAGCTCGTGAGCGTCAACGACCAAACGATTCGGAGGCATCGAGACGGACAGGAGGCTCTCAATTCTGCATTGGCGCTTGTATTTGTGGCGCATATAACCATTGTTGCCCGAATTGACCTCATACTGAGGCCGAGTCCAGCAATATGTCACAAGTAATTGGCACAGTAAGTTGTCCCCTGGTTGCCATCGACTCACCTCGATCGACGGGCAATCAATGCAAAGGATATCACACACAGCTAACGTGGTCAACGCGAGTAGACCCGCCTAGCCTACTCGCGAGTATGGCACCAAGTATCAGCCAAAGCCCCTCACGCCGGTCTCACGACGAAAAAGGCGGCCGTGGCCGCTGCCGCCGCCGCCGCGGCCACGACCAACACAACAAGACCAACCCCGTTGAGCGCCACAACCGCCGACACCGACGTGACGCCGCCCTCCCTCGGGCGTCTGGCGTCGCGCATCGCCGTGCTGCTCATGGGCAAGCACAAGCCGACGTTTGACCCGTCGACCGACTGCGGCGACTACGTGGTGGTGACGGACTGCGCGGCGCTGCACACGACGGGGCACAAGAAGTGGCGCAAGACGTACTACCGGCACAACACGCGGCCCGGCAGCCTGCGCGCCGTCACCATGGATGTGCTCATGGAGAAGCACGGCGGCGCCGAGGTCCTGCGCAAGGCGGTGAGCGGCATGCTCCCCAAGAACAGGCTCCGCGACAGGCGTCTTGCGCGCCTCAAGGCGTTTGAGGGCGGCGCGCACCCGTACGCGGACAATATTGTGCGCTTTGGTGGCGTGCCGGTCGGGGACCGGGGATGGGAGGCCGTGGTGGAAAGCATACGCGCGGCGGACAAGGAGAGGTTATAGGGGGGTTGGGAACTGTGACATATCATGTACCATTTGTATAATATTGAAGAGCGTTGTAAATGCCTCAACACTGCACAAAGCATGCGTTTGCTTCACATGATGCTGAACCGTGTTCTGGTTGAACAAAGATCGATCCGAATGTAAGGCTTCAGCACGCGGACTCATGACTGTGACGAGGAGCCCAGTATTTGATTGGTACAGGTAGTAGCTTGCCCATCAACCTCTTTCCTCGGGAAACGTTATTGCACGCGGACTCATGACGGTGACGAGGAACTCCCTCTACAGACGACTTGAAGTGGCTCAATGATATGGTAACCTGCCGGCTTCCCCAGTCACGATCAGCTGCACCAATACCCAGGCGCTGCACATGGCATATTGATATGTTCAATTCTTGAACACATGATTATGAAGGCCAGAATAATAACGTGACATGCAGTATACCTCAGCTGTTGGAAGCAATGGATTTCTATGTAGTGTATGTAATATTCAATTTCGGACGCTGTGTGGAAAGCACAAATGCTAGTTGCGACAAGAAAAAAACATGTTATCAGCAAATTATGTGCATTCTCTACTTTACAATTTGGAGGACGGTCCATCGCGGGAGACTTCGAGCTTGATGAGACCGTTGGGGTTGGTCTGGGGAACGTAGACTTGGGCATCCTTGCCCAAGTTCTTGATGCCCTTGTGCCAGCTCAAATCTAGCTTGCATGTCAGTTTGTCTCTTCTCATCAACATTCTGCTTAGGGTTCAACCTACCAAGATCAAAGTAGTGCTTGTTGGGAAGCGAGTAGTAGACCTTGCTCACTTCAGGCACGGCCTTGAGGATGTCTTCCGACATCTTGTACATGGTAGCCTGGACGCTGGCGCTGTTGTCCTCGGCGAAGCGCTTAAAGGTGATGTTGCGGGCGGCCTCGTGGGCGGGGTCAAACTTGGGGACGGCGGCCTGGACGGCGGCCAGGTCGGCAAAGACGTCCCAGTCCCAGCTGGCGTCGACGTCGGTGGACATGATGCGGTCCCAGGTCTCGGGCAGGGTGGTGAACTCGTCGCGGACGAAGCCGTGAAAGGCGGAGCCGGTGCTCTTGAGGACGGTGACGTCGGAGATGCCGCTGTTGATGGCGATGCCGTCGCGGCGGGACACGCGGGCGTCGACGTTGCGCTTCTCCTCGCCCTCCTTGACGAAGCTGTGCGGGTGCGGCCGGCCGTCGACGTGCATGCGCGTCCAGCGCGTGGTGACGACGCGCACGTTGGCGACGTGGATGTGGCCGTACGTGGCGAGGAAGTGGGCGCCGAGCGTGGCGGCGAAGAGCTCGGGCGGCGTCACCGGGTGCTGCTTGGCCATGATGAAGATGGTGTTCTTCATCGAGTCGGTGGCGATGACGACGGAGTTGTCGGCGTGCGTGTACGACGGCTCAATGTCGCCCTCGAGGAGCACGCGCACGACCGTCTCGTTGATCGTGTGCACGCCCGTCTTGGGGTCCCGGTGCGTCTTGAACAGCCGGACATTGTCCTTGCCGTAGCGGGCGGCCGAGATGGTGGGCATCGCGGGCTTCTGTGGTGGTGTTGGTAGTGGTAGTAGTAGTAGTAGGGGGTCAGAGGGTTGGGATGGAATGACGCAAAGGATGGTGCTTGCGATTATGGCGAGAGGTGGTAGGGGTAGATCAAAAAGAAGGGATGGAAAGACGCTCGTTTAAAGAGGAGCTGTGGTTGTGTTTTTAGCAGATGAAAAGAGGAAGTTATGAGACCCGGATTGATGGCCTTTCAACTTGCTTGTCGTCGGATGTCGCCGTAGTTTGCGATAAGGCACCCGACAGATCTGCTGTGCGACAACGCGTGTGGCGTGCTTGTACGAGATGCCACCAGGTAAGGAACCTGCTTTAAAAATGTCTCGAAACTTGTTGTGCACAGAGAAACGAGGGAAAGCCAAGAAAAAACAAAATAGGCTCAGCGAAACTATTTATGCACTGAACCAGCGGTGCCGTCCTTGAACCAAGTCCGGACATGTCCCCGGGGACGGGTTGGTTCGTTCGGCCAAGTCCCTCTCCCAGATCGCCCGCGCAGTGCCGGCCTCGTCCACTATTACTGCGAGGCCCATAAGAGACCCAAATTCTCTAAAACCCTCCCCGGAGGCCGTTAGATGGGGCGCATTGCAGGTCGGTCGTCTGCTAGGCTGGTGGGTGGGAGGAAGGGGGGGGGGAGGGTTCGGAGCCCGCCGAAGCCCAGGGACGCGGAGGGCCGCCCGCCTCCACAGGCGTCCCCAGAGATGGAGATGGAGGGCTTTGTGGTAGGTTGGCAGTTTCCTCCTGTCACGTCATGTTTCTTTGCTGCGCGTCCACCTGTTTGCTTGTTTCCTCCAATAGGGGGTTTTTTCTTGAAAGACGTGAGGATCCGAATACCTTGGCGGACCGCTGTCATGAGAGAGGTTTAATGGCCGTCGCTCTCCAAAGGACCCCCCTCCATGGCCTGATGCATTCAGATGTCGTGATACTATGGCCCCGGCCGGAGGCATTGCGCGCGGTGCCGAGCGAGAGATGTAGAGTGCATGAATTGGACACAAGGGCTCACTCCAGTGTGTTGGGATTGTGCGGCCAAATCGAGGCCCAAGGCTATGACAATCTCGACTTACATAACTACAGTCAGGTAGTTAGTTAGTCAGAGCATGATAACAGCCACCAGCATGCATAAGTGGCTCCGACCGTGCGAGCCAGCCATTTTTCAGGTTTGGCATTGTTCAAGAAAGTCAATCTTGTACACATCAGCCGAACTAGAGGGGCACACACAAGCTGATAACCTCTTAACCTAGGTAGGTATGTACCTACCTTGTTAGGTAGTTAGCTGGCTCGTAGCCCATCTCCATGAGCTGAGCCTCCTGTCCTCGTGGGCCTACTTTGTTCATCTTGGCTAATGAAATCAGGGCGAAACTAGGTCAGCGACGAGAGCACAGCCATCCTAAAGGACAGCGGTAAAATCTCCTCCAACAAGCTCATACAGCGCGAGGCATATGTGGTTGGTACACTATTTACCTTGTTGACGCTCAAGTTGGGGCTCAAAGGCTCGCAGGGCTTCTGTTGCATTATTGATCGCTTAACTAGGAGGAGCCCCTCGATTTCATCTAGATTGCAACCCTAGGTTCCCGATCGACAGACTCTTACTGCCTACCTAGGCATGGGAGAATATCATAGAGCCCCTATGACACCCTAATAAATCTACTGATCGGTGCCGTTTCTATCGCCCATTGTACATACGACAGCCCAGCCTGGGTTCGCCAACCATGCAGAGATGCACCTCATGGGGAACAAAGCAGAATTTTGGGCGCAAAAATAATCAGCCACTTGTTCAATAGTTGGAATTGGTTCTCTCTTTTCCTTGTGCAATTTTTTCTCAACTCTCGCGACCCAAGGTCATTCATGTGTAGTTGGTAAGGCTCACTGGCCGTTTCGCGAGCCTTGCTGTCTTTTGGCTGCCTTGCGCCCCGCATAGCCACGCTTAGGTCGTCTTGCTTGCGTCTCGTCATCTACCAACAAACCATCTCTGCCTCAAGCCTGGTCTTCGTCCCCCATCGCCTCGGCATCCATTCCAGCGGCTCTCGCGTGCTAAAATATTGCATCAATCTGTTGTCTCTCCAAATTCACCGCCATACCAACCCAACGTCGAATGTGGCACACCGCGCAACAACCGGCCGATTCCCGCTCCCGCGTCCCTCAGTCTTGAAAAAAGGCGCCCACGGCATCGCTACCCACGGATGCAGTACGCCCGCCAGAAGGCCCCGTCCCAACCGGTGGTCAAGACGTCGTCGCCATGCTCGCCAATTCCTCCGATATAGGCCCCAAGGGCGGTGCCGGGCCGACGCCTCAGCCGCAGACGCAGACTGGCCGCACCAGCTTCGACCGCGACGGCCTCCAGCCGCCCAATGGCGGCGTCAACGGCGCTTCGACGCGGAACCTGTCCTCGTCTGTCATGTCGTTTGGCCCCCGCGGAAGCAGTCTCAATCCGGCCGCCGGTCCTGGTAGCTTCAGCTCCGAGCTCCGGAGCCAGATCATGTCCAGCCGCGCGGGCAGCAGGCTCGACGTCGGCTCCGTGTACAACGGCGGCGTCATGGACAAGGTCCTGGAAGAGACGCCCGACTACGTCTCGGAGCAGCAACTGCTGCAGCTCAAGGACAGGCTCACCCGCGAGATGAAGATCAAAGAGGGCAGCGAGAACATGCTCGAGGCCCTAAACGTCAAAAAGGCAAAGCAGACCAAGGATCAGCGCCAGCGCGTCGAGGCGGAACTGAGCGCCAGTAACATCCGCATCCGCGAACTGCGTAGCAAAATCACAGATACTCAGCAACAGCGCATACGACCCGCCACCCCGACGCGAACGTGGACCCAGGAGAGCACCCTGTCCAACGGCCCCCGATCGAATCAAAGTCCGACAAAGTCCAATGCGGCCGAATCCGATATTGACGAGACAACTGAGAGTCCCTCTTTTGCCCTGGCCGAACTACTGCACGCTCTCGAGGTGGAGGGCATGATGCCCGAGTACTACGTCAGCCGCGCCAACCAACTTGTCGGCCTGTTCAAGAGACACCCCGCTATCAAGTATGACTTGGTGTGGTCCATCTTTGGCATGCGCATGCAAATGATGCTTCTCAGCGAAAGTCGAGAAGTAGTCGCGGCTGGCTACCGTGTCACCCGATACGCCATCTCCGACGTGGCTTCGCTGAGGAAGATTCGAAACCTCAATACCGATTTTCTCGTCGTTCGCTCGCTCAACAACTACAGGAAGGCTGACGTCGAACGCGAGCAAGCTCTCAAATTTGTCAGGGCCTTTCTTGACGTCAAAGACGGCGTCAAGGAGATATCAAGAGCCGTTGTCAGAACTATTGTTGCTGTCGCTGAACAGGGCGAGGATCGACGTGCCACTGTTCCCGCCCACGATCAGAACATTGATCGATTGCGCCCCATTTGCATCGAAACGTTGGCTGAGATTCTTGTCAAAGACCCTCCTCTACTGGTAGCCTCGGGCGGCCTTGGCCCCTTATCGGATGCCCTCTCTGAAGGGTCTTACAAGGCATCTGAGAGCTTGACGGCCGTCTTCCTGTTTCTCCTCGATACTCCTCAAAAGCGCAAATATCTTGAGCCCGAGTGCGGCTTGGATGCCCTCTTCACAGCATTCACAGATCTGTTGGGTACAAACGAAATCATTTTGAAGCAAAGCTGTCGTGCAGTTTCCGTTGCAATGAGATCATGGTCTGGCATCATGACACTCTGCATGTACGATTATCGCCCGATTCGATCTCTCATCTATAGTATGCTTCTTCCCAGCGAACATGTGCGAGAAAATGTGCTCGACCTTTTATTCTCAATCCTGCGAATCAAGCCCCCTGCTTGGGCGACCTCGTTCCTAGCCGGTCGTCGCTTGACAACGTATGGCCGCGTTGCCAACCTGAAATCAGGCGACGCCAAGGAAAAGTCGTCGCCGTATATGGAGGAAGACGGCAGCGAGCAAAACTTTGTCCATCATTATACCGCGCTTATTCTGGCTGTCCTCATCAAGGCTGGACTATTGCATAGCTTGTTGCAGATTGCGCAAACAGAAGAAGACCCTATGCTGAAGCGCAAAATATCGCTATTGCTTTCCGAGGTTCTGAAACTCGCCAGCCGGTTATTGCCACCGTCTTGGAGCGCAGAGCTCCAACTTCTCCCCGAGCTTTTCAAAGCCGCTACCGATTTCGCCACGGATCAACATTTCGTCGCCTCCAGCATTGTCTATCAGATCAGCAGCGTCAGCAAGACATTGTACAGAAGCGCGCCATCGGAAACGATGGCTGGCATCCTTCCCTCCAGTGATAGCATGATCGATTTCGCCGCCTTGGAGGGCCAACACCGAGCAAATGCTAGCCTTCTCTTGGATGATACCACATTCCGCCAGTTGCTGGTTGACTCGGGCGTGCTCAACAGCTCCAACTATACAAAATGGAACTGGGATGTCATTATGAAAATCGTCAGCGGTCCACTACAAAGTGGCAAAAGGCTGGATGAGGCTGTAAGGGCGTCTAAATGGATGAAGCGAATTATGAGCTTCTATCGACCATTTAAATACAAGTTTGCCGAAATCAAGAATACGCGCAACACACAGAAATATGTGCAGACTGGCTGTGCCCTGATGCACTCGCTGTTGCAGTCCAACGAAGGCGTCAGTATGCTGGCCGACAGCAAACTAGTTCGCCAAATCGCAGAGTGCCTCGCACAATGCGATCCCACCAGCGGTCTTACAGCGCAGTTTCCACTGTTTGCCAAAGATCGCCTTACTGATACCCTCTGCAATGGGTACTTTGCTATGCTTGGTGTCCTGACTGGCGATCCGAAAGGCGTGATGCTTCTGGAACGATGGAAGATGTTCAACATGATGTACCACATTGTCGACCTGAAGCAGCGACCTGATTTGATCAAGCTTCTGCTTACCAATTTCGATTACACCCTCCAGGGTCATCATCGTGTACTACTCGCCAAGGCTCTCACCGCGGGAACCAAGGACATTCGAATCTACGCAACCGATGTGCTACGCAAGTGCACTCTCCGCCGTCCAGCCGCTACCAATGCACTGGGGGATGTCAGCGACTCGCGATGGGCCATTCAGCTTCTGTCGACTCAGTTATACGACCCCGAAATCGATGTGTGCGCGACTGCAGTCAAGATTCTAGAAAAAGCATGTAACAGAAAGAGGTACCTGGAATATGTCGTTGAATGCAGACCAGCCCTGGACCATCTCGGCGAGATTGGGGCACCACTGCTTCTACGTTTTCTCTCCACGTCGATTGGGTATCACTATCTGGATGGGCTTGACTATATTAGCAACGAAATGGATGACTGGTTCCTGGGTAGGAACGACAGCTACGTCAACGTTATTGAGGCTTCTCTTGCGAAATCTTTTTTGATGGATGCCGACGAGCAAGGACAACAGTCGGCCATGTTTGACGAGGCTGAGTCAGGAGCCGATTTCCATGACAATCATGTACCGCCGCATTTCTATCGAGAATTGACGAGAACTAAAGAGGGCTGCAAACTTTTGCGAGACAAGGGGCATTTTGACGAATTCGCGTCCACCATTCGCGATCACGGGATGCAAGCAGAGGATCCCGAGCTCATGACAAAGGTCAAGGGCTGTATGTGGGCGGTAGGCAATGTCGGTTGCATGGAGCTTGGGGCGCCATTTTTGGAGGCTTCCGACGTGGTAGAGCAGATAGTCCGCATCGCCGAGTCTCATCAAGTCATGAGCATCCGAGGAACAGCATTTTTCGTCCTCGGGCTCATCTCTCGCTCCACGCACGGCTTAGAGATTTTATCAGAACATGGATGGGATGCCAATACGACACCAATGGGCAACTCTCTTGGATACTGCATCCCGACCGACCTCGGCAAGCTCCTGTCACTAAAGCCATGGCACCACACCGGGGCATCCTCCATCAGCCTACCTCTCACGCAAAGAACGATTCGCGAACCGCCACCCAGTCGTGTCTCGACGCCATCAAAGGAGAATATTGAAGCGGTGCCCCTCGTAACAGACGAAGAAGTCAACGCGCGCATCGTCGAACTTCTTGTAGATCTGGGCAACACGGTCCTTTATAAGAGGGCCGTGACGGAGCTACAAAAGCTTAAGCAGCGCAAGCCATCGGCGTTTCGCAGTACCGACTTTTTCAAATACGTCATGGGTCTCATGGAATGGAACCACTACCGGCTCGGCGTGCGCAGAATGGTGATTGACTTGTTTGACAAGAATGTGATGCGGCAGATTGTCTTTGAGGAATCAGAGGACGAGGACGAGGACGAGAGCAGCGAGGAGGAGTCGGATGAGGACCAGGTCATTTCGCGGAGCGCGCAGAAACAGGAGCAGCACCGCCGCAAGTTTGAGCAGCCAAAGAAGAATGACAAGGATGAGGAGGGACAGGGCAATTCTAGTGGCAACAGCCTCAGCAGCGATGACAACCGCACGGAGAGACAGCGCAGCGTGAGCGAGCCGACCGAGTATCTACGAACCAGCATGCTGCCTCCGCCACTTAACTTGGGGCGATAGGCGCTTTGTGCGTGGCGCCGAGACTTTCTATATATACTTATGTTTTCTTCTTTTACTTCTTTTTTTCTTTTTGTTTATGGTAGCTGTCGGCACAGCATGGCGTCGGGTGCAACATCCAGAGACGAGCAGACCGGAGCGGCTCACAGGCCACTCTACCATGGTATCCAGGAGGCAAAGTTGAGACCAACTTGACGACCTTTTTTGGAGGAAATTCTTATCCATCTTTAAGCCTATGTGCGTCTCTGGCCAGTTGAAATTTTAACAGACTTTATATATGCATTATTTGATATCTCGTCTTGTGGAACATTGTTGCGACAATGGTGTTAGTGGTGACAACTCGCTCCGAAGCCAGCCGCACGGCCCCGCTGTATCCGTTTGTTGAGTGAAATACCCATGGCTCAAGTCCAGCTTCGTCAGCAGTCTTGGCAGGTCAACAGTGTCAATCTTGCGTCTTTTTTTCTGTGCTTCATCTGCAAAAACTACCGGTCGTTTCGATATTGGTCGCTTGCGCCATTCAGTTTTCAGCATGGTTCAGGGCAGGGTGCTGGTCGTAGCCGGCTCCGACCCTTCTGGCGGGGCGTACGTTGAAAACAACCCTCTTGCCCAGGCTTGTCACTTGGGCTTCCAAAGGCTAATCCACGCATGAGAAATACAGCGGCCTCGAGGCGGACCAGAAGGTGCTCGCGGCGCACCAGTGCTACGCCATGACGGCGACAACGGCGCTCACGGTGCAAAACACAAAGGGCGTCACGGGCGTGCACGTCGTGCCGGCCGAGTTTGTCGCCAGACAGATTGACGCCGTCGTGGAGGATATCGGCGTGGACGTGGTCAAGACGGGTGAGTTTGTTCTTGTCCGGGAAGGGGAAGACGATGATGCTGATGCTGCCGCGGCGAACATGCAGGCATGCTGGGGTCCGTGGAGACGATTGACGCCCTGTCGGACCTGATTGACAAGCACAACCTCACGACCGTCGTCGTCGATCCCGTACGTTCACCGCATTTACCCTCTCCCATCAGGATCCACCGCTGAAACTTACACAGGTCATGGTCTCGACGTCAGGCGCGCAGCTACTCCCGCACGCGGCCATCAAGCAGCTCTCGGCACGTCTCCTCAGGCGGACGACGCTGCTGACGCCCAACATCCCCGAGGCGCGTCTGCTCCTCGCCGAGCACGGGCTCGAGAGCGCCCCGGCCGTGCGCACCGTGGACGATCTCGAGGCGCTCGCGCAGACGATTCGCGGCGCGCTCGGCCCGCGCTGGGTGCTCGTCAAGGGCGGCCACGTGCCGTTTCGCGCCGCCGACTTGACGGCCGCCGAGGAGGCCGAACCGGGAGCGCGGGTGGTGGTGGATGTGCTGGTTGGGCCGGACGGCGCGGTTGTTCGCGTGCAGAGCCCGTTCCAGAAGAGCACGAGCACGCATGGCACGGGATGCTCGTTGGCGTGTAAGTCGGTGTTGGCCCCCGCGCGGAGGGGAGGTGAAGGGGATGGGAATTGTTGCTAACGGGTTTTATGGTGGATCAGCGGCTATTGCGGCGAATCTAGCCAAGGGAAAAGATGTCCCGACGGCGGTGCGCGCGGCGTGTCGATATGTTGCGGCCGGCATCCGGACCGCCCCGCAGCTCGGCGGCGGCCACGGCCCGTTGAACCACTTTCACTCGTCGTACTCGCTGCCTTTTTCGCCGTACGTTGCGTGTTTGTCTCTATCAGCTTTCAACGGGGGGGGCTTCTCCGCTAACTTGTCCCAGTGGCTACTTTCTCGAGTATCTTTTTGCGCGTCCCGACGTGCAGCCCGTCTGGGCCGAGTTTCTGCATCATCCATTTGTCATGGCCCTCGGCAACGGCACGCTGCCTCTCGAGTCTTTCAAAGGATACATTATCCAAGACTATTTGTACCTGGTATAGTCTCTGTTGGTGTTTCTCGGGGGGGGCGTTAATTGCTAGCTAATACGAATGGTTGAATAGGTGCACTTTGCGCGTGCAAATGCCCTCGCCGCGTACAAGACCAAGACCATCAGCGATATCCAACGAGTGCGTTTTTTCACCAACTCGTCCAAATTCCCGCCGCAAAAACAGCATCTCGCACTAACGCCTTCCTATCTAGTCTGGTGAAATCGTCGGCCACATCGTCCGCGAAATGGACCTTCACATCAACTACTGCAAGAGCTTTGGTATTTCCGAGCAAGAGATCCAAGCCACCACCGAGCTCCAAGGTGATAACCCCGGGCTACTGTCACGTTCACTCATCTGACACATCTATTCAAGCGTGCACCGCATACACTCGCTACGTGCTCGATATTGGCCAGTCGGAGGACTGGCTCGCGCTGCAAATGGCCCTGGCGCCGTGCCTGCTGGGCTACGGCGCCGTCGCGCAGATGCTCGCCGCGCACCCGGACACGGTCCGCGAGCAGCAGGCCAACACCTACTGGCCGTGGATAGAAAACTATGGTGCGGCAGATTATGTCGAGGCTGTGCGTCTCGGCTCCGGTACGTATTCCTTCCGCCGGCCAAATCTTGCCCCCCCCCCCCCCCCTGTCGAGTAGACTGCGCGTCGCGGTGTTTACACGCGAGGGGTCTGTTTGGCAATGTCTAGTCTAACAGGTACTTTTGCCAGAACTCATCGAGAAGAAGATTTGTCAGTGTTCGCCCGCGAGAATCGAGGAGCTGATTGAGATTTTTATCCACGGAACCAGGGTAGGTTTCACTTGACTGTTCTTCTTACACCATAAATGTGCTGACATGATGGTAGATGGAGACTGGCTTTTGGGAAATGTTTCCCTCAAAATGAAATTTTCGATAGATTTTTTTAATTATCAAAGAAAGGGGGTACTCTGAAGATATCTATGGACGGAGGAAAACCCGGACCGGCCAGCTCTAAAAGTAAAGACTGCTAGCTAACATAAATATTACAAGGCAAAGGTTTCAGAGAGTGTTTGCACAGATTACCACTTCTGTCGAGGTCCCTTCCCCTCTCGACGTGGCAATGTTTTTAATAGTTTGGTTTCACATTCAAACCCCGGACATCAGCTAGCCGCGCCAGTCACGCCGCCAGGAGGACTGCCCTTGGTCTGATTGGCGTTGGTGTCCTCGACAGGTCGCGGCACCTGACCATCCGGCATCATGAGACGAAACTCCTGCTCAGGGGGGATAGCCGGTACCGGGGGCGGGTTGCCCGACTCATCCGCGGCGTCCTGCTCGCGCTGCTTCTCGCGCTTGACGCGGCCCGACTGCTGGCGGACCCATGCGCTGACGGTGCGGAAGCGCGGCGGCGAGTCCTCGGACGCCTCCGTGTACACGGTGTCGCGGCGCGCGGACCCCGATTCCGTCGTGGTCATGGTGGTGGCGGTGCTGTGGCGGCTGGTGCCACGCTGCTCGAGGTCGGCGGTGCTGGTGACGTTTTGCAGCTTGCTGGCGCCGGTGGTGGACTTGCGCGCCTGTCTGGGCACGACAATGTCGCCGTCGCCAAAGCCCGAGGACAGGGAGGAGAGGTCGCTCATGCGCGGCCCGCCGCCGCCGCCGCCGCCGCTGGCCATGGCGGACAGCAGCGTCAGGTTGTACTGGGGCGTGATGGAGGACAGCGACGGCTTGGGGCCATGGTTGGTGCCCACGAGCTGCCTGGCAAGCGAGGCGCGCTGCGCTAGCGGCTGCGCCGACTGTGTGGCTTCCATGTCGCTGGGGTCTGCGAATGGCGACAGGCCCGGAGGACCCGCGGTCGGGGCGGGCGGCGCCAGGGCAGCCATGTCGCCTGCTTGGGAGATGCCGAGCGTGGAAACGCCCATGGTCGAGACGCCGACAGAGGACACCGTACCGCCCACGGCAGCGGCGTTCTTGTACTGCGACGCAATCGAGCTTCGTCGCGTAAAGGTGGTCTGCACTGTGATGGGTTCGAGCCTCGAGTTTCCAGGCGGCACTCGGCCGGCTACCGAAGCCATAGTGGATGAGCTCAGCCGTTTTTCTGTGAACCGGCCTCTCGTAGAGCCGTCGAGATTCTCCCAGCTATTCTTCTTGAACAACTTGTCGCGGACGTAGGGAATCCTGCTAGCCACGTTGGCAAACCCACGTTTCGCTCTGTCAAGTTGCGGTTTCATCATGGCGTTGAAGGAACCGCCATGAGCCGAGTCGATCCTCTGCTTGCCCTTTCGCCAAAAGTAATACCCAATGCCAAAGAAAGCGCAGACCGCGACTGTGAGGACTGTTAGCGAAAGGAACTGGCCGTCCGTCCCTAATCCGTAACCTGTACATACCTAACACGCCAATGGAGATTAAAGCATCTTGGCCGCCAGAGCTCAGTCCGCCGCGTGAACCGCCGCCGCCGCCGCCACCACCACTCCCATTTCTATCGCCGTCTGGCCTCTGGGGCCTGATTCCGATCGATGGCCTCCCCGACTGTCCGGGCACAAGGTTCGACGACGTGGAAATGCTTGTACTCAATGTGGTAGGGCCAGGGGCCACGGCAAACGGCGTCGTGGAGTCATTGTCACTTGTGGCCGTGCTCTTTTTGGTACTGGAGGTGACGGCAGGCAGCGCGCTTGACAAAATGGGGGTCAGTAACAGACGGGTGCCACTTTCGCTTGTCACGGTTGCACCCGGAACAATGGTACTGAGGGATATCTTTTGGTTGTCATCTGCAGTTGTAGTCGAGTCCTCTGTCGATGTCTTTGAGGACCGCTCAGTCTATGGTTTTGTTAGCTGTGTCTGGGGCTTGTTATCATGGACTGACGGGAGGAGCTCTACATACCGAAGTCTTGGACTCTATATCAGACGACTCATCTGACGTTGTCGACGGCTGCTCTGCCTTTGGAGGCGGGATGTTATCGATTGGGTTTTCCGTCGGTCTTGGAGGTTCCGGGTCCTTGCTACTCGACTCCGGCGGCGGACTAGTCTCGGCGGGTGGCGGACTAGTCTCGGCTGGCGGTGGTGGTGGTGGCGGAGGCGGAGGCGGAGGAGGTAATGTCGGTGCCTCTGTCACTCGAGGGGGCTCGCTTGTCTCAATGGAAGTAGGAGCTTCTTGAGTTTTCGGAGCTTGAGTCTCCTTTGTCTTTGATTCCGTCGCGCTTTCCTTTCCCGACTCTTTGCCAGACTCCTTTCCCGACGATTCGCTCTCGCTGCTGCCAGTCAGGGCGTTGAACAAGGCGTCGCCCACGCCGGCAACAGCATTGGCGGCGCCGCTGGCGCCCTTTTGGATCCCATTGTGAATTGCTCCGGCCGCGGCGCCCACGGCGCCGGCAACCCCTCCGCCGTCTGCAAAGGCCGCCACGGCCGAGCTTCCCGAGTCGCGGAAGCCCTGGGCGACGGCGCCGACCGCGTTGCCCACGCCGTGAACGAGGTCGGATTGTGCAGCCTCGAGTCCCTTGGCGACGTGGCCGAGCTTCCGGTCTTGCAGGAGGGCGCGGATCTCGTGGGCCTCGTTGCTGATTTCCCTGCGGCGGAGGATGGCGGGCAGCTCACGAAGCGGCGTCGTCTTGTATCTCTGTCGCCCTGCGACACTGGCGGCGCGGAAGCGCGCGCGGTGCTCCTCGGCGATGGAGGCAATGTCAATATCACTGTCGTCTTCGGTGGTCCATTCCGGAAAGGAGCGGGCTTGCGCAGCGGGCTGCTCGCGGGCGACTTGCTTGCTATCGGAAGCAGACATGGTGAGGCGGGGTTTTTTTTATTTATTTTTATAAAGACGAGGAGCCCTCCTTTGTGCAGGCCGGTTAGAATGGAAGAGGGCCGGGTCGATGCATCACAGATGCTCAACACTCGGCCAGTTGCTCCAAAGGTCCTGGAAAGTGATCAAACGGTGTAAGAGTAAAAAAGCTGGGCGCCAATCCGGGAATTCTCAAAAGAGCAAGTGAGATTCGAGAAAGAGGGGGGAAAGGGAAGAAGAAGTAAAACGCCAACGAAGAAGGGATTGCGGGAGCGGATAAGAGGGATATAGGCGATGTTGGCTACTACAGCCAGACGAGCTGCCTCAAATCTGTAACAGTCTAGTCATCCGGGGGCTTTTGGAGCATCTCAAGCTTACAGAGGAGCCGACGGGGAGCGCCGATGCCGAGGGCGAGGAAAGGGGATCTGTCAGTGAGTCGGACGATTGGAACTAACATACGCGAGGTTGCATACCAGGAAGGGGATGATACTTCCAAGGGGGGCCCGGGCTACGGAAGCCCCAACTCATCCGTACCATCTATCCTGCCGCGAGGCCTCACTTGTTGCAGGAAATCACTGCACATGTCTACTACTTGGTCTGGCAAGTGGGAGGGTGGTGGGGGGGGAGCAGGCAGGAGGCGGCGAGGTTATGCCTCACGCAATCGGGACGGAGCGTTTGCTCGACGACGTTCAAACGGCCGGGCCACGACTTGAGACGGACCGTGTGTGTGAGCCAGCGTTGAACGGGTCAAGGTTTCTTTGGCCTGCAAGTCATGGCCTAGGGTTTGGGGGGTAAATAAGTCGACAGGGGGGGCAGTTGGGGGAGGGAATCCGCAAGTTCCTAGCAGCAACTATACATCGAGTAAATAGCAATCAACAGAATATAGATTAGATGGGCAGAAAAAAGAAAGCAAGGGGGAAATAAGAAGAAAAAAACGCCCAGAAAATGTCTTCCTAATTCAGATCGATATGGACTGGGGGTTGGAAAACCAGGGTCTGTCTATTCGTAAGGACACACACACGCTTCCATTCAAAGCCTCCAAGTCTTTCGCAGCCCAAAAAAAAAAAATAACAGTCATGATTGGGGAAAGGGAGCTGCGGCAGCCAACACCCAAACTGTGGACACTGGGAGGCGTCGCAGAAGCTGTGATCGACGGGTTTCAGGAACTCTGTTGCAACAAGTGTCAGAGCGTGGGGGATGAAGTTTTGGCGCAGGGGTACGAGGCAGAAAAGGTTCTTTCGGGGCTTTTTTTTTGCAATTATTATTTCAGTTCTTTTCGGCTCCTCCTCTTTGGAAACCGTGCTCTTGCCACCATTCACTGGCGCGCTGTCCGTTATTTGTTTTGTATCAAAACTTGGTGTGTCAGTGGGAAGAATGAAGACGGAACTTCCGCGGGAGGGGACCAGAAGAAGTCGACGGAGAAGCCGTCCGCCCGCCCCCGATTGAATGGGAAACTTTTGGCTGTTTGGTGACATTCTTTTTTTCTCTTCTTTCTTTTCTTTCCCCCCTCTGTGGCGTTGTATGAATCGTGCCCCCCTCCTCCGCGGCTTGGAAATGTTTTTTTGCGACACTATAGTGACAAGGCAGTTTATGCATCCCCGCTTCTGGCGTCTTGGGGGAGGCTTGCCGATGGGAGGCTTTGTTGGTTTCGCGCCACGACATGCCTCTTATATGACGAGGCGGGTTATGGATCTTTTGTTGTTTATACTGGAATAGTTCAAAAGGTTCCATGGGGCCGGGCACAGAGAAATGTTCCGCAGAACGTTCCATTGGCCTCGGCTTTGTTGCTTGGCGGCTTGCCTTGTTGTTGCGCGGTTGATGCAATTGCCATGGCACAGAGCCTCTGCTACAAAAGACCTATAGCTCTCCTACAGAACGTCTGCAGAGTATGTGAAATTATGCTCGTAGAATCCCAATTCGTTGCCATCAATGGCCGAGTCATCTGGTCGTAGTATACCGCTCGGCTCGCGGCCGCGTATATGCATCCCATGCATCTTCAAGCCGACTGCTTTTCGTCCACTACCATGTTTCCAATATTTATCCAGGTGTGATTATCGCCTGTCATACGTCGCTCCATCGGTGATGCCGCTTGTCAGCAACAATGTGTTTGTAAGACATAAGTCACAGTTGCTATTCCCGCTGAAGACGCACTTTCACCATCGTACACCTACCTGGTGTACTTGGACGACAACGTGAGAGCAACGCTCAAAGCGACGACGCTGTGTCAAAGTAATGTGCTCCAAGTTGCAGTCCCATAAGTTTACTTGCAGTTTCTTACTCGCTCCACGCACGGCTTAGAGGTCGGTGAGAAGCTATTGGTTCCACGAGCACCATCTGTCGCACCGCTGTCCTACCACGTCTTTGTGACTTCCTAGGCGCAAGCCAACAACTACGCCACAAGGCATCCATAAGTCAAGTACATTCACGTTTCAATCAACTTCTTTGAGTGCCGACAGCACTCTCTACTTCATGTCTGGCCAGGCGCTCAGAAATGAACATGATCAGAGCCTCTGTCGGTCTCACAGCCTCTTGTACACCATGGCATGCCGTCAGTCACTCTCGAACGACTGGATTTCTGTGTCACGGACGGTCCAAGATATTTTGGCTATATAAATGATACCATCGACTTCATCTCCATTGAATAATTCATCCAACAGATTACCTTGCCAAACCAGATCAAGCAGACCTCGCATACCAACTCCCAACACCACGATGCATTCGACTACTTGTAAGTTTCCGTCAACTTCTTCTTGGATGTCTTCTTCTCAACTGACAGAATAAGCCTCCGAATTGGTCAATTCCGCCGCCGTGACGCTGCAATGTGCAAGGTGCAGGGCCACTGTCACCCAGTCTATAACATGGTGCTTGCAATGCAACCAGCCACTGGTGAAAGTAGTGAAGGTGGTGAAGAAGTGATGGCGTTTTGATGGTACGGCTCCTGGTAGAGTCGTGAGGTTGAAGGCAGCACCAAGCAATCGACCTTTTCTCAGAAGTGTGGTCAGAAGTGTGGTCAGAAGTGTGCTCAGAAGCAGTTTAGTCAAGCATGGTCGTCTTCTCGGCGCTTTCTAAACAGTTCTAATAAAGATCTTGATTTAAACCAACTACTAGTAATAGCCCAGCACAAGTTGTAATCTACACTTGAATAAGATGAAAATGTACTCGTAATTGTGTCAAGACTCCGCGGGATGATGAGCTTTCAGGAGTTCACCATGACACGCCGCCCGAGGTAACACAAAACTTGCTGCATGCGAAGCATTCCACTTAAGTAATAAACAATAAATGCAACAATGAATGCATAACAATAAATGCATCCGAGGTTGGCCAGACTACGTACTATCCGATGCGGCGAGTTCTTTCAGGCTGGACAAACAAACAAAGCCCAAAGCCGTCGCTGACCCTTTGTCATTCACCCATCTTTGTCTGACCCTTTGTCATTCACCCATCTTTGTCTGACCCTTTGTCATTCACCGTCTTTGTTCACTCGGCTCGCCAAGCAACTCGACTTTACATGACCGTACTCTATAAGAAAGCCTCCCACCCAAGCTCACATATCTGTTTGTGAGTTGGTTTATACACCGCCAGCATGTCTACTGAGGGATTGTTAAGCCAGGAGACAAACGACGTTGCCTATGAATTTACGGCCACGACATTCAAGAAATCGTCCAAGCTTGGTTTTGCCAGTACACGACCGGATGGTACTCCATTTTTCTGGTTCCGATCATGGTAATTCAGATTTGAACCCTTCCTGAAGAGATGCCCGCAGCTCTAACGACGAAGAAACAGGAACCATGAGCGCATCACAAACGAAGCCAAGGCTCTAGAGCTCATTGCCAACAAGACAACAATTCCTGTTCCACGTCTGATTGAGCATGGAATTCATCCAAATGGCTGCAGATACCTCATTACCGAAATTATTGACGGCATCATCCTAGACAGGGTCGGGCACGAGGGTTGTTTGCAGCCAAAGGATCAGCTGCACACAGAGGCAGATTCTTGCCAGGCTTGCGCTGACCAAGCCTACTCCAACGCTCTTGCTTTTATTAGCAATGTCGTTATACCTCAACTTTCTGCTTTAAAGTCCAAAGAAAGAGGGATAGATGGCTTTGTGATGCCGCCACGATGGCTGAGCCCTGATGTACTAGCCCCGTGGCGAGGCAAGAAAGCCTTCCAGACTCTGCCTCTCCAGACGCCAGAGTACACCTTCCAGCACGGCGATTTGGCAGCTCATAACATCATGATGGATAAGAAGACGCTGCAGTTTAAAGCGCTCATTGATTGGGAGTATGCCGGGTTTTTCCCCGTCGGCATGGACAGGTGGCCGGGGACCTTGGACAGCGACGCGTACCGGGAGGTGGCCGAGGATCTAGCGCCCGCAATTGCTCGTTTTCTTCCCCAAGAGTACGTGGAGTGCTATGAAGCCTGGTCGGATAAGAAGCAGCTGGAGGATCTGGTGAGAGAGGGGGGAATCCCCGACCCGGTCGAGGTCAAGAAGCAGCTTGGTGTTTTCATGTAGGCAGACGCGGCTATGAGATGGTAAGTAGGCATGTCCGAGAAGATGACCTTTCGAATTTAGTGTCTGTTTCAATTTAGAGTTTTTGTAATTGCAGTCTTTACAAGGGCGAGGGCCGGAAACGCAGGCCGGACCAGTCGGTTCAAGGGAAGCATGTGGACAACACGAGCCAATGGGTAGCTTCGAGTAGCCCTATACTCAACGTTCCAAAGAACAAAAAATGCAAGAAACCCGGCTCCCCGCAATCTGCCGGTCGGTCATCGGATCCCTTGGCTGTTCGACGCCCGTGGAGCACCTCGCCTCGGCATGTGCAAAGGGTCGCGGGAGCCCCCGGGGCCTGCTCTGTTGTTGTCAATGAGGCGCGCCAGCACATGGTGGTGGGTGCCAACAAAAGGGGCGTGCGACCCCAAACACTGCGAGTAGACCTTTTCGGACGGCCGGAGAATCACGGATCAAGGGTCTCGACATGTTCTGGCATCTCTGAGGGTGCTCATGTGTCTGACGAGATAGGGGAGAGCGAGCAGGGCGGGTTGAGGGAGAGGACGAGTAATAGGCGCCGCCCGGACACGGCGAACGGGTAATATGGCCGTCAGCTGGGCGGATACAGATGTGGCGGCATTCACAAGCTTGGATGCGACAGGCTCTTATCTAATAGTCATACTGTAAGAAGTGTATGTATGTACGTAGCACCAGTAGGTAGGTCGGGACTCGTTTGCAGGTAAAAATAGAGCCTCTTAACAATGTGGATAGGCTTCGCTTATATCTGTACGTACCACGCACATATCAGCCTGTCAGCGCCCTCCTCGTCCCCTTCTTCACCCTTATCAAACTCTGAATCTCTATGTGATTGTTTTTTTTTTTTGCCTTCCTCCGCTCTTATCGCGCACTCGCGCTGCGTCATTAACGAACAAGTGCGTCTTAGTTGATTACAGCGGGTCACTTCGAGAGCCAACAGGGTCCTTGAGACGAGGCACATCCATTTATTATTTATTACATTTATTACAGGCACCAAACAGCCTGCCAGACCCGCCAACGGCCCCCCTTGGAAGCGCTGTAAGAGGCCACCGAGACCGCTGAGCGAGGTCAGTCAGGTTCATCCGCGGAACCCGCCTTGACAAGCGGTTGAAAGCCCTTGTGCTTTGCAAACAGCCAGAGTGGATTATCTGGGCTCCAATTTTTGTCTCATTTTTTATTTTTATTCTCTGGTTTTCTCGGGATTTTTTTTCTGCGCCTCTATTGGCAGCTGGTGACTCGTGGCTGACTACCTAGTAGGTACTTCCCGTTCCTGTTCCTAACAGCTCGAGCTCCTCTTCCGGCGCCAGCCAAAACTTTGTTTGCGCCGCCTCTCTCTCGCCCGTTTGACGGCAAACTCTCCAACAACAAGCCAACCCGTTCGCGCCAATTGCGAGGCTATTTGTTCCTCAATTCCCTGTGGCCTTTTCCATTGACGAGTTTTCTTCTTCATCTCGTCGAAGCGGGTGCGCTCTCTCCCCAATACCCGACCTTCCCTGCGAATCGGACGAAGAAAAAAAATGGCCTCTACATCAAGAGCCATCACGGCCGCTGCCAGGCCCGGCCTCCAACTCCATGCCGGCATCGCTGCGAGAGCTTTTTCCGCCGCTGCGCGCACCTCGTCCATTACGTCCCGATGCGCCGCCCGTCCCTCGCCGTCCATGAGGCTCGCCGTCACCGGCCGCCTCGCGTTCCGCAGACCCTACTCGGACGAGGCCCCCAAGCCCAGGCCCGGCAAGCTACGCACAACCTTTCGCTGGATCTGGCGCCTCACCTACCTCTCCGTCCTCGGCACGCTGGGCTACACGGCCTATGTCATCTACGACGACCGCAACCCCGGCGAGCAGTCTGTCCCTGACCCGAGCAAGAAAACCCTCGTCATCCTAGGTATGTGACGCATCTCGATTCTGGCTACTCCGACGTTCGGCAATGCCTCGACTAACACTTTTTTTTCCAAAAAGGTACCGGCTGGGGCTCCGTCGCCCTTCTCAAGAACCTCAATACCGAAAACTACAATGTCGTCGTCGTCTCCCCTCGCAATTACTTCCTCTTCACCCCTCTGCTGCCTTCGTGCACCACCGGCCTGATTGAGCACCGCTCCATCATGGAGCCTGTGCGCGCCATCTTGCGCCACAAGAAGGGTGCCGCCAACTACTACGAAGCCGAGGCCACCCATGTCGACACCGAGCGCAAGGTCATTACTGTTGTCGACAACTCCGAGATCAAGGGTCCCGCTACCCCCAACGAGATTCCCTACGACATGCTCGTCGTCGGCGTCGGCGCCGAAAACGCCACCTTTGGCATCCCCGGCGTCAGAGAGCACAGTTGCTTCCTCAAGGAGATTGGCGACGCACAGCGCATTCGCAAGAAGATTATGGACTGCGTCGAGACGGCTGCCCTCCGCGGCCAGTCCGAGGAGGAGATGAACCGCCTCATGCACATGGTTGTTGTCGGTGGCGGCCCGACCGGCGTCGAGTTTGCCGGTGAGCTGCAAGACTTTTTCGAGGAGGACATCAAGAAGCTGGTTCCCGGCATCAGCCCCCGCTTCAAGGTCACCCTCATTGAGGCTCTTCCCAACGTCCTGCCCTCCTTCTCCAAGCAGCTCATCGACTACACGGAAAACACCCTGCGCGAGGAGAAGATTGACATCATGACCAAGACCATGGTCAAAAACGTCACCGAGAACACTGTCGAGGCCGAGATTAGCAAGCCCGACGGCACCAAGGAGCGCGTCCAGATCCCCTACGGCCTCCTCGTCTGGGCTACCGGAAACGCCGTCCGCCCCATTGTCAAGGACATGATGTCCCGCATCCCCGCCCAAAAGGACTCGCGCCGCGGTCTCGCCGTCAACGAGTACCTCGTCGTCCAGGGCGCCCGCGACGTCTGGGCCGTCGGTGACTGCGCCGTCGCCGGCTACGCGCCCACCGCCCAGGTCGCTTCCCAGGAGGGTAGCTTCCTCGCCCGCCTCTTCAACAACATGGCCAAGACGGAGAGCCTCGAGGGCCGCATCCACGACCTCAGCAGCAAGATGAACCTCAAGGCTGGCAACGCGGCTGACGACGCCCGCGAGATTGAGCTTCTCGAGAAGCAGCTCCGCCGCATCAAGGACGTCAAGCCCTTCCGCTACTCCCACCAGGGCAGTCTGGCCTACATTGGCAGCGAAAAGGCCGTCGCCGATGTCAGCTGGTGGAACGGAAACCTGGCCACCGGTGGTAGCTTGACCTACCTCTTCTGGAGAAGCGCCTATCTGTCCATGTGCTTTAGCAGTAAGTGTTTTTCTTTTCGCAGCCGCGACATGTCCACGGCTTCTTCTTTTCGACGTCACGTGCTAACTAAAATCCAGCTCGCAATCGTGTCCTTGTTATCCTCGACTGGCTCAAGTCCAAGGCTTTCGGTCGCGATATTTCTCGAGAATAAAGAATCGCCAGGTTAAGAAAAATACAGGGCTCTTTCGATGTCGTCGTTACAAACACGCCGCGATTCCTCGGTTGGGCAATGACGGCATTTACTGGGGGGGGTGTATTCCCGGTGTTGGAGTATAATACGTGTATTTTTTGTTACTTTTCTTGTTTGTTTGGATATCATAGAATTGGGTTTGCAGAGCATAAATAAAAGCGACGCCGCCACGCGTCCGGTTGGCCACCTGCGAATCACTTCCAGTTATTGTTATCTGCTGCCTCTTTGGGCAGTCATCTTTGAGCGCGACTTTGTGTGATTGTACATGTCAACGTTGTTGCGTGATATCACGAAACGTACTGATGCCCAAGCGTTGCAACCATTCATTTAACCTACTACGCCCAGAGAATAACAGGATACAGTCAACAACGACTACTCAGATGGGTGACCAAGCCTAGTGCTATAAATATGAGCCTGCCTACACTCAGAATTCATATGCCAATGAAACACGAGACCGCACTGACGAGGGCCTGCTGTCTTCCTCGAGTTTTCAGCCAGATGCCGGGTAGGCAGTTTTGTAAACTGAGAAAGTTGCCCAACGAAAAGCCAACAGAGAGACCCATAATTATGAGCCAATCATGTATTGCCATCTACTTTTTTTTGGGTCGAAAACTTTTCCAGCACAAGAAGTGGCCGAGTCAAGCAAGTGCGCCCCATAAAAAAAGTCGGAAGGCCCGTTGAAAGCCTGCCAGGCTAAGGAAAAAAATCTTTGTTATCTCGCCCATTTACCCCCTTCACACTCTCCCCAGACATCATCCCCTTCTCATCATCTCCCCTGTACCCAACTTCGCGGCAGAGACTTCCATCTTGTCAGATTTCCATCTGCGTTCTCTCCCGTATTTCCAGTCCTTTCTACTCCATTCTCTGCAACACTTTTGACTCGATCGCACACTTCCTCGGCACTCGACACAACAAGCATCCAACAATGTCCAACTACGGCGGTGATCGCGGCGGTCGCTCTGGCGGCTACAGTGGCGGCGGCGGCGGCGGCGGTGGCCGTGGCGGCTACGGACGTGATCGTGACGATCGCGGCGACCGCAACGGCGGTGGTTATGGTGGTGGCGGTGGTGGCTACGGCGGCGGGTAAGTCATACTTTGCATTTGTTATGTTGTTGTCTCGGACGCTCGTCTGTCGGGCGCAATGACGCTTTGGTCATGTCGCCTGTTCAGCCATGGCGCTAGCGCACAGGGGTCACGCCTGCACTGGGCTTTTGTAAAGACACGAGATGCAAACACGGAAAATTGAGTTAGCTAACCAACAATACCAAGTCGCAGCAACGGCTACTCCAACGGCGGCTCCAATGGTTTTGGCGGCGGCGGTGGTGGTTATGGTGGCGGCGGCGGCGGCTATGGCGGCGGTGGTGGTGGTTTCGGCGGAGGCGGCGGTGACCGCATGTCTGCGCTGGGTGCCGGCCTTCGTAAGCAGGACTGGGGTATGTATTGATGAGCCACTGACTTGACAGCGTTGCTAACTCTTGAACCAGACTTCTCTACCCTCCCCAAGTTCGAAAAGGATTTCTACAAGGTGAACAGCGATGTTGAGAACCGTTCTGACGCCGAGGTCGAAGCCTTTCGCGCAAAGCACCAGATGACCATTGCTGGTAGCGCCGTCCCCAAACCCGTCGAGACCTTTGACGAGGCTGGCTTCCCCCGCTACGTAATGGATGAAGTCAAGGCACAGGGCTTCCCCGCCCCCACTGCCATTCAATCTCAAGGTTGGCCCATGGCCCTTTCCGGTCGCGATGTTGTCGGTATTGCCGAGACTGGCTCCGGCAAGACTCTTACCTACTGTCTCCCCGCCATCGTTCACATCAACGCCCAACCCCTTCTTGCTCCTGGCGACGGTCCCATTGTCCTGGTTCTCGCCCCCACCCGAGAACTCGCTGTCCAGATTCAGCAAGAGATCACAAAGTTTGGTCGCTCCTCCCGCATCCGCAACACTTGCGTCTACGGTGGTGTCCCCAAGGGCCCTCAGACCCGTGACCTAGCTCGCGGTGTCGAGGTCTGCATTGCCACTCCCGGTCGTCTGATTGACATGCTCGAGGCTGGCAAGACCAACTTGCGCCGTGTTACCTACCTGGTTCTTGACGAGGCTGATCGCATGCTTGACATGGGTTTCGAGCCCCAGATTCGCAAGATCATTGAGCAGATTCGCCCCGACCGTCAGACTCTCATGTGGTCTGCTACCTGGCCCAAGGAAGTCCGCGCCATGGCTGCCGATTTCCTCCAGGATTCCATCCAGGTCAACATTGGTTCCATGGAACTTGCTGCCAACCACAGAATCACCCAGGTTGTCGAGGTTGTCACCGAAATGGAGAAGCGTGATCGCATGATCAAGCATCTTGAGAAGATCATGGAAAACAAGGAGAACAAGATCCTCATCTTTGTTGGCACCAAGCGTGTTGCCGACGACATTACCCGATTCCTTCGCCAAGACGGATGGCCCGCATTGTCAATTCACGGTGACAAGCAGCAAAACGAGCGTGATTGGGTCCTTGACCAGTTCAAGACCAACAAGAGCCCCATCATGGTGGCCACTGACGTGGCTTCGCGTGGTATTGGTGAGTATCATACCCTCCCCCTCCCCCTATATTACGGCAACTTCCAGCGAAACTTGTGCTATACTTTACTCTCGTGTGTCTAGGGGCTATCTTTACTGCGCGCAATTGCCTGGAATGACCGTATCCACGTGGTTGTCTCATTGCTTGGAGCCTCGATCCGTTGTGTAGCCACTCATGGCTACGCTCGTATTCCACCCTTGTACCTTCTTCTCTCACCCCGGTATAAGTGTGGAGGTGGGCATCTCTTGACCCTGATCAAGCTTGTTGTCTGCCTAGGCTCCCTGATCTCCGAGGACGACCTGTGACTGCATTCGTATTCTCCAGAACTGGAAACTTGCATACAAACCGCAATTGGATTGCCCCCTCTCCCTCGGCGTATTGCCAAACGGGATGATGCATCTGCAGACTGGCCGACGCACCTAGCTACAATCATCTAGAGTTGCGGCAGCTATCTGCATGACGTTGCACTTTTAGCGCTGGAACAACTCGTTGCTGTAACACGCCTGTGTGTGTTTTTCGCCTGCTAACATGTTACCTTTCTTTGAAAAGATGTTCGTAACATCACTCACGTGCTCAACTACGACTACCCCAACAACTCGGAGGATTACATCCACCGTATTGGTCGTACCGGACGTGCTGGTGCCACTGGCACTGCCATCACACTCTTCACCACTGACAGTGAGTTGCTAATACCAGAAACCTGCGAGAAGGATGATGTACTGACAAGATGATAGACCAGAAGCAGGCTCGTGAGCTTGTCAACGTTCTTCAGGAAGCGAAGCAGCAGATTGACCCTCGTCTGGCTGAGATGGCCCGCTTCGGCGGCGGCGGCGGCGGCCGTGGCTACGGAGGTTGGGGACGTGGTGGTCGCGGCGGTGGCGGTGGCAGAGGTGGGTTCCGCCGTCGTTGGTAGAGGATTTTGGGCCAAGCCGACGATTCTGACGCCGACATTACCAGGTGGTAACAACGCCAACAACATGCCGCTACGCAACAATCGCTGGTAAAGATTGCCTAGCGTAGCACACGTCATCTCACGACGAGTCCTCTCACGACATGCACCTTTGCTCTCATTGCTTCAACATTCAAAAGTAACTAGGCACCCACATGCGGCACACTGCATCACGGTACAGAAAAGGCCCAATGAGGCTCACTCACGGCGTTTGATAGAGGTCACGGACTGCTTTTTTTTTACAGTTTTGTTTTCGATTTTTAAGTAATTCATTAGACTATCTGCCGAGCAAGAAGCTCGCGAGTACTGATTTCATGAAATGAACATCATTATCTACTTGCAGTTTGCTCGACCTTGTCTTCTATGATTTACATTGTGAGAGGTGGAAATATGTTGCGCGAGGTTGCGCGAGGGGAGGGAGGCTCTGGGTTCGAGTTGCTAGCTGCTTTGCTTCGTCTTGGTCTTTTTGTTTCTGATTAGATATTACAGCACACGCAGATTGAGAACATGCTATTTCTTTTATACAGAGACGAGTAGGAGGCCATTGTTCCGTGCTGAACCCGTATTTGCTTGTATGGGCGGTGACATTTGAATCACGGCTCATCTCTCGGCTCCTTTTTTTTTTCAATCTATCCGCTCCAACGTCTTGAGTCCTGTTGCGTTGTCATTTCCAAAGTCTGCGGCCATCCTCGATTTTCCCATGTCGTCGAACCGGGCCGGTGTGATGATGTATTCCCGGAAACCTGGGGGGGGGGGGGGGGGGCTCATCTCTTCACGTTGGCGCGAAGCAAAAGCAGCAGCGCAAGCCTTTGTTACACAGCATGCACCGTTTTTTTGTTCTGCTCCGTCTCAGAATCGGCTCCTGCATCAGAAAACCGCACTTTTTACAACCCCCCCTTCTTCCCAACTACCCGGTAGGCTAGCGTCGATCACCGACCTTTGCTCGCCTGTTTCTGACTTAGGGGGGGAAGTCGGGGCCAAAAAAAAAAACCGCATGTGTGGCGTCACGAGCGCGCCCGCGTCGAGATCCATCCATGCTGCTGCAGTGTACGGATAGTTGGAACGAGTTGGTGGTGGTGGGTGGGGTGCTTGTGCAGACACAGGTGACAAGAGACGGGACAGAAAGAAGAGAGGACAAAAGTGCCAATTGCCATCAATTTCAATGCCGGCATTGATCGCAATGCCATGTTATGCAATGCATCTTTGTCAGCGTTGTGCTGTGGTGCGTTTGGGCTTTGGGTCATTCGTATTGGAGTATATAGGATAGTTATAAAACAACAAAGAAGAGGGAAAAAAAGACGTTTTTAATATCGACAGGGCTTAGCCCACGCAAACAACAGCGACTGAGAACGCAAGGAGCAATAAGCTGATGCCCTCGAGGCTAGCACGTCCACGATTTCAAGTCCATAATGTCCCCAACGGCAAGTTCTGTTTTCTTTCTTGGTGGGTGGGAGAAACTTTCTTGCTGCACTCCGCATATCCTTTGCTAGTGACAAGGGGACGAGGGGGCGAGGGGGGCTTGCTGATAAGCATTGAGAAATAAAGAACAAACGACAATAAGGAGATTGTGCCGCCCGGGGGCACGGAGGACTTGCCCTCAAATGGAAAAATGGTACAGTACACGCGAGAGAGAAAGAGGGGCGGAGGCTTTTTCTTGGTGAGGGGGGCGTCGGCGTCGACCCAGAACAATAATAAGAAGGTTGTAATAAGAAGCTTCCAAAAATCAGGAGCTCAGCGCCAGGGTTTGTGGTGGACACGGCCTTTTCCCGCACGTTGGTCACTGGTACTTTCTTGCCAGAATAGAACAAACAGGACGCAGAACAGTACAACCGCTGGGGTGGTCGTATCAACTAACATGCGGGTTGACATGATGCCGTCCAAACGTGTCGTGTGAACGCCATAGGCACACCACTTCGACGGCGGTCCGTCTGGCTGACTGCTGGCTTGCCGGGGTAGAATGTTCCAAGCGGCCTCGTTTATTAGTGTCAGCTTTCGATGTGGTGGCGTTCTCTTGACGTGTACAAGAGGTCCTCTGCAGCTTCACGCCTTCTTCTCCGCTCGTCAGGTTGGCCATCAAACGCCTTGGTCACATCCGCTGCATTTGCTGTGCTCCGTATTGACCCCGGAGCCTCGTCTCACTAGGAGAACCCATCAGTCTAGCCCCAGATTTTAGCTCGGGTGGCACAGAACCGTCTAAAATGCAGCCCTGTCCTTCACCTTGAAGCTAGAAGCTAGAGCCCGACGACAGTTGGCTGTTGAGTGTCATGTATGTACAAACCAATTTCGCCAGCTGAACAGGTCGCGTCAAGAGCCACAGAGACATTCTGGCATGCATGGAACTGCACCCTTGCCTCCCAAGTTGCGATTCGAAGCATCCAAGCTGTCAGTGGCGGCGTGTGGTGTGCGGTGATATACCTGGCCATGTATGAGTCTCTGAAGAAAATGAACGCCGACCAGTGTGGTGAGCAGAGGTGCCGGCCGTGGTTCACGGCCATCGAGGAAACCCACCATAGCCCCAACAACGAGCACACCCTGGCTGTAATGGCGCGTGCTGCAAGATTGTGTTGTTCCAGTGCGCATATGTACGGAGCACGGAGTCCTGGCAACTCCATCAGCTTGCGAGCGGACTTGCGCCCCAGATGCCTGTTGTGTCGAACGGCCAGACTTTAGCTGGGGTCCGCAGAAGCTTGCCTGACCAAGGCACTAGCCAGTAATCACGGGAGTTGAGCGCCATAAGTCAACGCCCCAGTGCTGCGCTCGATTGGCAACGGCATTTGGCACACACCCCTCCTACCTATCTATCCTTGCTGTCTATTCCAGGATTAGTGAACTCCTGGCTCTGTTTTGCGGGCATCAACTGGGCACCTGGCGTCCCGAAAATTGTCGGATAGTGACAGCATCAGAACCAGCGAGCGCAGTCTGTGATGGAAAAGCCTGTTGACCATTAATGTAAAATCAGTCTAATAATACCGTTATAACGACACTCTCCGTTGAAATGTGCTGTAATGGGTTTCAACGTTGTGGCCAGCATGTGTTCTGATCCTGAAACCAAATCGTCTAGGACATGGTTCATAACTCCGTAGATCTGAATGAGTTGACTCTGACCAAGGGCCCGAACGAGCAAGTCACTTGGCCATCGAGAGTTATGTATTCAACATTGAGGTGGCCCTCTGCATGTTGTGAGTTTTTGCATCCATGTACATCCGTACTTACGAATAGTACGGAGTAGTTATGTCGCTAAAACGCGCACGATGCCGGGGTCAGCCATAGGCGCCAGCACATGCAGTTTGGGTTCCACGTTCGGTGCTTTGAGGGGAGGGGGAGGGGGGGGGGGGGGGGGGGTGTCGATTCACTTCTCAGCTTTTAGGATCCGACGGGTGCCCAAACACTTCTCACCATGCGTCTGTGCCTTCATGCCCATCATCGCCTGACGTAGAGATAATCCTCATGCATGTTCTGCAGGCCTCTGGAATTTCTCATGCTCATCTTAATAAGACGAGGTTCAAAAGTTGAACATTGTTCGTATGGCCAACCAACGTCTTTAGTATTGACCCTGGCAAGCGCTTTTAGTGCCATCTGGCCTGCTCCGTCTCAGCTATCAGTGATCTGGGACTAGAGCTGGTTAGCCACGGACTTGCTGGGCGTGGTTTGTCGTGGTAAGCCTTGACTTGGTGGCGGCAGGGTCGTGACCAGAATTGAAACACGCGATGATGTCCTCCCAATAAGGTAACATAGTATAATTCTCGATTGGTCGGTGACAGTAGGAGGCATCTCGAGGGACATATCGCGGCCTGGATACCAGACAGCCCAGAGAGAGCGGACTCAACACGAGGTTGTAGAGCCTTGTCGACCACTGTCATCCGTAGTCGTCGTACAAACAGTCATGGCGAGCTTGGCTGATCTACTTCGTCGTGGCAGAGCCAGTGTGGGATCGCAGATGCCCTAGCCTCGGGGCGCGCCAGCCGCTGAAGCTATCAGTCTGGCTAACAGTTCTTTAGGGCATCTGCAAATGATTTTGGTCTGGGCTAGTGGATGATGTGCTGCTAGGATCTCCCCGCACAAAACACCGAGCCATTGACAAGTCCAGCACAGCAGAGGTTGAGTGCTGTCGAAAGACGGAGACCAGTCTGCCGCCGGGGTAGCTTGGAGAAGTCGCTATTTTCACCCAATCGGTCTTGGAATTTTGCATCCAGATGCGACATTGGCCTTTGTTGAAGAGGAAGGAAAAAGTTCGAGAGGGGACAGGACAGTAACAGGCACTCAACCGGTTTGGATGCGCGATAGACATCCGCTATGCCAAATAATTCCATGCTGCGGCTCAGGGCGTAAACACGGGTTCTGACCTGCGTCGTACACATAGTCAGGTTAGGACAATAAACCCTTCACCGCTTTTTTTGCACTGAAGAAGAGACATCTCTCCTCTCAATGTGATTCTAGAAGCGGGAATGCTGTCAAATATTCGGCCTAATATTAGCCTGCTGCTGTGGAACATATTTGTCCTGCATCATATTAGGAGGACTCGACACTAGCCAATCGAGCCCACATTGTTTCTCAAAGCGTGATGCCATCAAGTAAATGTAAGCTGTTGATCCCGCACCAAGTCTTCTCGGACGAAAGGGCTACGTCGATGCAGACGCTAATAAGTCTGCACCACCGCGTTGTGAGGTAGAGCTTTTTGCTCGAGTAGGCAACTGAAATCAGTAATGGATGCCTAATAATAAAGTTCCATCATGTGAAGTGAAGGTAGTGAGTGACTTGTCTACTTCCCTGAATTTCGGAAGCTGCGTCTTTTGGTCAGACGAACGGCGACAGCACCCCTGCAGCACCTCCGAGCTGACTGATACAAGAAGTAATCGTGCTTTGCACTCCAGTGACTGGCCATGTAGATAGAAGTTGCTCATGAATGTTGCATACCGACTAGAGGTGTAAGCTGTCCCGTGTTCATCATCGTCTAGACTTTATTGCAGCCCATGGTCAAGCATATTGACCCATGCTGGAGCAGTGCGTCAACGTAGAATTTCGAATGACTAACACTCTGCACTATGCGTGCCGTGT